TCTCTGTGGTTCGGTCCATGGTTCCCTCACCAGCCAGAACCGGACCGGAAAGCGGTTCTGGGTTCTGGACCTTCACTAGTGGTCCGGTTCTGGTTCGACTTTCCCGAACCTTCCCGAACCGTTCCTTGACCTTCGAATTCCCTCGACTTCGACACCAACCACGACGACGTCGGTGTCCATGTCGACATCAAAACACCGTCTTCGAGATTTGCATTATTTGTTAATCAGGCTACTGTTAGCCTTTTTGAAGGTAAGTACTAATCAATTTATTCTCAAGACTCTGACATATGTTTACCTATATCACAGATATCTACTTGTTCTAGTCTATATGCTTCCTGGATAGTCATGATCCTCCACCGGTTCTCAACTCTAACAGATCTCCTTGGATATTGTCGCTCTGTCTAGGTGAGTATCTTTTTTTTTTTGCTTAAGTCCATGTCTCATTTTGTTACAGTTCTTGACCCTAACTATAAGTTAGCATACGTCGAACAGCGATGGACTGTGACGAAGGTCGCAAACGGGAGGGCTCGTCTTGAGGCAGTGGTGAGTACTATTCAAACTTAAGTACCCTACCGGTCTCTAACTCCAGATGTATTCTTAGTTTGACAAATATTATCAAGTGCCTCCAGCCCCAGGACCACATCCCAAGGAGCCAGAGGCCATGTCATCAACAACGAAAGCTTCGATCTTTCTCCAGCGTGGGCATCACATCAACTCTGCGCTGCAACGCACTCGCATCATCCACTTTCTCCGCGCTACAATTGATGAAGGCAGCCTATAAGAATGGACATGTGTCAGCAGCAGTAGAGGCAGAAGAATATGCAGTTGGTATGCAGTTAGACTAGCTACCCAATGTCATGTAGATGTCTTGTGAATGTTTTTTCTGTTGCTTGAAAATTTTTTGGTTTGGTTCGCGTTCAGACCAGACAAGAACCGGACTGGACCATTGAGAACTGTTCTCAATGGTCTGGTTCTGGGTTCGACAATTTTAAAGAACCGAACCATGGTTCGGTTCTTGGTTCTCATAAGGACCCTCTGAACCGGACTGAACCGGACCACGGCAGCACTAGTCGAATGCTGAAGAGTCCGAGACGTGAGGTACGAGCACATGCTAAAGCGGAAACGGACGAGCGCGCATTGACAGCGGCTCGTGCCCTCCCTTATTTTTCATGTCTTTGATTAATATATGTTCCTGCTCAATTTACCTTATAGCCAGGACCAGATAGTTAGACGCATCTCAGTCTTGTCCCAAGTACTGAGATGTGAGTACCATTAGTTACACGACGTACAAAATAACTAATGTCTTTCGTAGCGTTTTTCATTCTATTAGGTACATATACCAAATATACAGAGTCTTGTCCCAAGTACTGAGATCGTTTGTCATTCTATTAGCTCCCTCCGACGTGTCCGCTCGCCTTTAAAATCTACAATCTGCTGGTACGGACACCTCAAAGAAGTGTACTATCCATTGGGAGGGGGTCCGTAGTGCTCGTACTGAACGCCTACTTGCCTGGTGCAAGGAAAATGAAGACGCACGCATCAAGCTTTTCTCTGATTCTGTAAAGGATGCCAAGGAGCAAGGTCGGAAGAAGAAGCAGAGTGGTACTTCGAGAGATGTTGTGTATTCACAGGTCGCACAAGCTGTATTTTCGAACGACGAGGATCTGGAGGTTCAATGACTCTTCAAGGAGGACCCCAAGGCATTCATAAAACCAGTTTCAACCCGTTTCGGCACGTAAGTATCTAGTTCCTGCGTCATCCATCTTCCCACTGGAATCACTGATCAGATGTCTCAGACTGAGGAAAAAATACAATGAATTTAACAAGGACCTCAAACAGTCGGGAGCAGGAAAGACATATGCGGAGCAGCAAGAAGATCCAAAGATCAAGTCTTTGATCGGTAAGTTTCAGCTGCTGTTGATCTGCGCCTGTCTGAACCATGTCTCCGTCAGATACAAAGCTCGAAAATTTTCCCTGGTGGCCTGAGCTTCATGGCTGGTGGCGGACAAATCCAGCCTTCAATCATGCCTTCTCTACTGCGGATGCAGGGCAAGATTTTGCGTCTGCTGCATTGGAACATTTCAATATTTCCAAGCACCCACAACCACTGGCTACAGTTGACGACGATGCTCGCACGGATGATGATGGAGACATAGTCGAGGTCGATACTCGCAGTGTGGACGATGGTGCTGTTGTCGATGTGGCAGATGAAATGATAGTCGACCAGCCCCCCCACATAGAATCACAATCATCAGCATCATCATCGCTTGTACCTTTGGACCGTGGTCCTAGCAACACACCTGACTCATTCTCACTGCCTCCATTGCCACACTGGTTCCAACAATCTCAGCTCCCTCCCATCTCAACTTCTGATGCACTTGGAGTGGTATTGTTGAACTCTCCTGGGCGCTCACCAGTACCCAATCGCAGTGCCCCCGATAATCCATTGTCTGTTTTTTCCGATTTTAGGGAATCTTCACCTAGCTATCAGTCTACGCCTATCAACTCAGAAGACTCGGATATTGGTGCCAGCCGAGCACTGCGGTCTCTCTGTGTCAGCTCGCTTAAGGGAAGTCGTGAAAGTTCACCTTCTCTTGCTACAAAACGGTCTTGTCCACCTACTCGAAGTGCATCACCTCAGTTTAGTCGTCCCTCCTCTTCATCACGCAAACACCCTGGCGGCAGTGCTCTTGACCAGACCTCTGCCACTGCAGAAAAAATGTCCCAAATGGCAGACTCTCTAATGAAGCACCTTGAGAGCAAACGTGAGGGTCATGTCGAGCACGAAAGCTACAAACGTATAAAACTTCAGGGCGACATTTGGGCTCGTGATCTCAAGGCCCGCAGTGCTCGTGATGAGCGGGAGCATGTGATGCGTCTTGCGGAACAAGACCATCTCCACCAGCAGGGGAGGATGACTCAACAAATTGAGTTTGCAAGACTCGAGCTTGAGCTATCTCGTGCACGTCGAGAAGAGGAGGAGGCTCGGATTCGTCGTATTGCTATGGAGCGTGGTTCTGATCAAAACTGAAGTAGGTCTGTACTGTGTCATCATGCGACTCGTTTTTAGGACTCGGAAATGCATGCCATTTTGTACTCGATCTCAAGCGTGACTACACACAGCAAACACTACAGGTTTGGGATAAGTGCTTTGAGCTCAAGTGCAAATTTCCCTCATTGGGTACTAAAGAGGACGAAGAACTTCTACTTGACAAAGGTTAGGTGCTAAGGAGGACGAAGAACTTCTACTTGACAAACACATCTTTAATGTGTTGCGATTCGCTCCAATGAGGAAAGCAACTGCGCCTTTAACACATTGCGAAAATCCTGCCCTGCAGTTCCAATGTAAGTCTGATCACCTACTGCACCACCCCCTTGCTGATCATCCTCTCCTGCGTCACCATCAGCTCGCCTCAACCTCCGAGTTTGCTGATAGAAACAGATGTTCGTGTCTTCATGGTGTGTTTTTTCTTCGATTTCGACGATTAGATTGTGCAGAACAAAGCATGAACGGATCCACATGTTTGCATAGTCAAGGTCCTTCTGACTTTGGATTGGGATGCGAAGCTCCCGCAGTGATTGGAACCGGCCCTTGATAGAGCCGAAAAAATGCTCTGAACGAACACGGACCTAGATGTTGGGTAAGTACTATGAATGTATATTGCCATTCATACTCACTGTTGATAGGTTATAGTTGAACGTCTTTTGGTCCAGCATCAAACTCCCTCCCACCGGCCGTTTATACGGCGGCACACACCAGGTTCACGCAGCATACGCCGAATCCGCCCACAGCCACTCTCCTGCACCGAAAAACGACTCGGGATCCCGGGAAACTCTTGTCCGCGCAAATATGTTTGAGTCGTGGAGACTTCCAGGTACGCCAATGACGTAGTCCACGATACAAAGATTATGAGGGAATATAACAACCTTTTTGATGGTAAGTCACCACGCTGCACATCAAACCGACACTTACCTGCGCTGTTAGAGAATAGTCTGAGTTCTTGTCGAAGAAACCCTCCCCATGCCAACCTGGCTTCTCGTGTAAGGGGGACGGAGTCCCATCTACAGAAAGAAAGCCTCCACGCCATTCATGACACGTCTTACTTTCGACGTAAGTTTTTGCCCGCTCTCGCTCAATTTGATCCTCGTGATCAAGCAGATCAAAATGAATGGCCCGGTCATGAAGTTGAAGGATTGCGATCATCACCCATTTGTAGCAGTTGTAGACGGTCCCCACGGACACTCCAGCCCAGTCAGTCAGAGATGTCTTCAGTGGTTGCGGCATTGCCATAATGGCCAGCGCCATTGAGAAAAATGGTGAGCTGTATTGAGACAGGAAGCTGGGGGTTATTCGAATTGTTGTAGAAGATGGCATGTCCTTGAATCAACTTCGTAAGTTCATCAAACACGTCCACGTCAACACAGAGCTTGCAACAGAATTTTTCAGGTGAGAATAGAGCCCACTCCTCCAGCAAGTGTAGCTGAGGCGCGCGACTTAAAGACGGACGGACATCAAGGACTCGACATTTCTCTACCTCGTCATGCAGTGCAGTGATTGCATCGGCAAACTGAGTAAAGACTCGTTCGCACATATCTGGGATATCGCGCGATAGGAATTCGGAGTACGCTGTGGAGAGTGACGTCAGAGAGTTGTTTGACAAGGCAGACGCGATTGACGACGTGGGGGACACTGGGGACGTTGGCCATGTTGGTGATGCGGACCGTATACTAATATCCGAGCCACTATGGCCATCGACAGCGTCGTCAGATTCCTTATCATCGTCTTCATCGTCGTCTTCATCTAGTAGCTGATCTATCATAAACTCGATTAGTTCCATATATCGCGCGATGGTAAGGTCATTTCTGGTTTGTTTGAGGCTGCGAAGCAGCTTCTTTCGATCTGATTCACAGGGCATATTGATGGAGCTGCAGAACGCTATAGCAGATGGTACAGCTTGAAAGCTTAGGGTTTGTTTGTCAGCGTCGGAGCTTCAATACTACCGGCAACGCGCAAATTTCTGACCTTCCAAAATTCTACGAAGTCAACTTTGAGAACCGCTATTGACAGGACGCAAGTCTGCATCTAGTTTGCATAGACCTCACGCAAACCGGTCAAATCCTGCATTTTCTGAGATTATCGAACTCTCAGCCTCAAACTTGGAGTTCAAGGACCGTTCACTGCGGCCACTTGACGAGGGCGAGCAGGACGACGAGGCTTACTTCCCCCTTCCTGGAAAAGAAAACTTCGTCACAGTCTGATCACGCTTGTGAGCAACAGACAGACTTGACTTGCAAATTCTAGACCATGTGAGTATTTCTAAATCATGATATTCCATGTTCAAGTTAACCGTCACCGGCGGGCTAGTCTTGTATGTAATATGGAGATAGTGTGGGTTCTTCTAAATTTTGTGCTGGCCATGATGCCATGTTTTCTACACGGGCTGTGCATTAAGACATCGCAAGACGACAAGCTTCAAACATCGCGGACAGATGTATCTGACGATGTAGTGCTCCATAGCTCGACCTATTCAAGCTGTCATGGTTGGTAATTGTATTATTGTTGATGCAAGAGGGCTGATGGCGTGATTTATCCATAGTTGTCAGCGACGGGGACGATGCAAATGCAGTCTTTCTCGTTGGTGTGATGAACCTTCCAGTAGGCATGCATTACTCGCGAGTAGCGTTCACAAATAACTTATAGGTTCGTAGTAAATCATCACTCCCTACCCGACATATTTACGGAAGTACCTCGATTACCGGCTGTGAAACATCAACTTTCTGTCTGAGACTTGCACGCCATATGATTCGGACTGTCCTAAGTCACGCCCCTGATCCTGTAGGTTAGTTCGTGCTCTTCCGCTCAGCTTCAGTGGTTGCGGTGGTATCCGGCTTAGCGAAGCCAAACATCCAACTTGGACCCTGCAGGCCTGCACACGAAGCCACATGCGTGTCGTTCATTGATAATCTTTGGCGATAAACTTGCAGGAGATGAAGCTTGAGAGCAGTCAGAATTGAGATGTCCGTCAAAGCTAACCGAAAGTGCCTCACGCACTGCTTGCTTCGAGGAAAATGAATGTGCTGCGAACAGGGCTAAGTGCTACACGGGGAAGAACCTGCCACGAACACTAAGCCTGGGAGAGCGTTTGAGCATCTCGGGAGTACGAAGTAGTCTTCAAAAGATTAGGTATTTCTCATTGAAGCTTTCGGGGCGCCTCGAGTTCTAGAACTGGGATACTTGCAATGAGTCTGTGAAGGTACCCAAGTTGTGCAATGATTTTTCGTAGAGTTAAGTGGTAGCCATTATTTGATGTGATACCCCTTTGAACCAGGTTCCAATGACTTTCCGTAATAGTGTTGACATTGTATTTGATATAGGAGGAGATGATGAGATAGGGTGATAGTTCATGCTACTCAGCGGGGTCCGTTGAATGGACATCGATCGCAACAGATTCGTTGCGCGCATGAGGCTGCCGCATGCCGAAATGAATGATGATATGAACCTGCAGCGCCGCAGGCCTTGTGGTATCCACGCACACCTAAACTAGAGATCAGATTCGGTATAGGTATTATAACTATTTGGCCTTCGTGCGTGGATCAGCCTGATTCCTCACAAAAGATCAGCACTGAATGTTTTGACTTGCACGTTCAACGTTGTCAACGGGCAAGTATGTTATAGCCCCTCTGTCTTATGTAATATGGAGATACGCCACTCCTCGGGCCCGGTGGACACATATGACCGTCATACGTACTAATTACAAGTCTCCTTCGTTCATGCTTCTACCATCAGCGCTCAGCGTGGAAGGCATGATTCTCTCACAGAACAAATGGCAGTGCAGTTATTTAATACGGTGAACTGGTGGACCCGTTCAGTCAGCAACAATGTCTTCCTCGGCGCAAGATCCTATTCCACAACTTGACCTGGGAAACACGTTCGGGGCACTTTTTATTGGGGTTATTCTGGCAGCAGTGTTAGTAAACTATTTGTCCATTATGCAGTCAAAAGCTGAGCGCTTCCTGTGACCTTTCGTCGTAACATACCCCATGGAACAGTCTCTTTGGTCTAACCAATGTTCAAGCTTTCATCTACTTGCAGGCGCATAGAAGCACGGGGATAACATTTTTCAAGCTGGTTGTACGTCCATACTACCTTGTTGTTGGTTCTGGTCTTGATGTCACATTCTGGCAGGTTGCCTGGCTTTGGTAGGTGTCCTTTCGAGTTGCAATCATTGATCGCGAAGAGATCGCTTCCCAAACTTGTAGGATATTTGATGCTCTGCACCTGGCCCTGACAATCCATTGCGTCTACTATTACTTGGTGACCAACTATGCGAACTTTGGTGTACTCACGGAAATCGTATGGAGTCTCAAAGTGAGTTTCTATAATGGCCCTCTGTGCAACCTCTAATGGGCCATAACAGCTTCAGTTAGTAATCAACGTAAGTCGTGTTTCTGTTCTCTGTGATCCGCCGACAACACGCATTGCACAGATTCTCATCGTTCCTATGGTGCATCTGTAAGTTCAATAACTGTCACTGCAACATTCAAGTCATGTCTCGGTCAACAGTTTGTATGTTCATCGCATATGGAAAGGTGATTATTCCCCTACTACCACGAGTCCGTCATGTTTACTAAATGAACCCAGTAAGCAAGGGTCGATCAAGAATTTTCCCGGTCGTAGCATTGGTGGGTTTGCAATCGGGGTTCGATTGTATTTCATTATGTTGATTCACTGTTAGGGCATAATCGTGGCCCTAGGTTCAGGCGAGTCTCTTTCCTGTAAATGAATGTTCTTCATGTAATTTTGAACTTATCCTCAGGCATTGCTATTAGTGAGATTTCAACGATGTTCTCGTGATTGGCTCATCATTTGACCTAATGACAGCCCTTGCGTGGGCGCAGTGAGTCAGGCAGCTCCCTTACTTCAGGAGGTGCTAATTGCGAGTAGATATAAGGTCAAATTCTTCAAGGATTTGGTTAGCATCGAGTGGATGACATATCTGTCTTTGGGAACGGCCACTTTTATCGATTTTCTCATCGCATCATCGCTATGCTATCTTCTTGCCACTTCACGTACTGGGTTCTCTAGGTACGGAGCTGTTCATTCCCTATCGGGATCTGATGTACTAACGCAGACTACTCAGCACCGATTCATTCATAACAAAGCTCGTGGGCTATACCATCAGTACCGGCTGTCTGACAAGGTATCCCTCCTTCCAGCCTACCCCATAGTACTTTGACTAATATCTTGACAGTATCTGTTCGATGTCAATCATAATCACAGTGAGGCTAGATTCATCGTATTGTTTACATGCGAGGTCTCTGAGGGTTTCCTGCAGTGTGCTGTGCTGCCGACAACCTTCATCTTCATCGGGCTTCAATTTTTAGTGACCAAGTGTATGATCAACAATACATTCTACCATGATCGTGCTGACCAGCGGTATATACTGTTTCAAGTATATGTCAACTCGTTTATCGCATTCTTGAACGCGCGATACTACATGCAGGTTAACGCGATCGTCGATCCTCCCCAATTTTATGAGCGCCACGGCGTCTATCACCAGGAACTCCACACTAGTGGATCGCAAGACGAAGAGTTTCACAAATCCCGAAGGGACCCCAAGGATGAGGTACTGCATATCACGCAACCTATCCAGGGTATCATGGTTAGTGGTTGTGTCATGGTTGATGGGATAAGGCTAATTGACACACCTTAGCCACAGTCGATGACATCGACGATGGAAATGAAGTCATTCTCGTCATCAGTGTGACATGTCAACTGTGTGTCTAATCGAGAGATGACACTTACAGAAACATAGGTTGTATTCTAAAGTAATCTCATCTTTGAAGGACGACGCGTCTACAACCACCGGCGGGAACGGCGGACTGGTGACTCGTGAGCGTAGGCATCGCACCAGGTTCTGAAAGTAGAAGAAAGGGCTAACCATATCGACAGGGTTGTTTACTGTTCATCGTACAATTATGTTTGTTGGTTTTGCGATTACCATGTACGATTGGGCATAAGTTTATCGTTCAAACGTTCAGCCACAATAATGAAGCTGTGAGTAACCTTTACAGTAAACGTAAATAAGGTAATGAGCAAGCGCAGGCTCCCTTAAGCTAACCATGATGCATGATCCGGCATTAAAATATGCAATTGGTACGTGGACAATCTTCCTGCGCGCAGAGTCCGAGGACTTTAGAAGTGATGATATCTTTTTGGTCTTTCAAAAGTTGGTATATCGATACATCGCCGCTTTATGTAAATCACCGCTGTATCCAATTGCAGTTATCTACTAAGTACTCCCGTTTGGAACAACTCGTGGGGAAAACAGGGGTGCCGGGACGAGCGAGGAGGCTGGCAAGCTTTTATTCGCGAGCGTGATGATGCAAGGTTCAAACTTATAGCTTAAAGGATAACGCGAAAGGCCGCTCGCGACAGAGCCCGCTACGGTCGCTTTGTCGAGTCATGATGTGAATCAATTGGTGTTATAGACACAAGTATCGTACAGATTACGGGACACCATTACATATGGCTTTTCGGCGCCTCGACACCATTTGGAGCCAAGATCAATCTCAAGTGTTTGTCCTTGCGACATATGTGCAGTGATCACGAACCCTGGAAGAACTGGCACTTGCGTTCGAGTGATGCGACACATTTTCTTGGGTTGGGATAGGTGAATTTGAGCTCTATGAAGTCTTCGATTGTTGGAATTTGGTACGGGGACAAGTTCGGGAGTGCTTCATTTGACGAGTGACTGATTTGTACGATGCAGGATCTTAAGACCCGTTGTCCCTCATCGTTCAGCCAGTGTCTGACTTTCCTGAGCTTTAGAACCCGTTTGGGTAGCTAGACATAATCCCACTTGGATGACAGACGAAGAAGACATTCTTTATAGATCATTATTTAGCCTGGAGCCATATAAAAATGATTCGGGCGAATACATGTACCTCGAGGCTGAAAATTTCAAGTATGATGACCAGCAGAAAACTGCGCAAGATCCATCTCCGAAGGCCGAAGAAATCGAAAGCCATCGAACTTCATATTTAGGAATGCGAGCCAATCACGGCCAGGTTCGACATCGCGCCCATCCAGATAGACAGGGCAAAATGTTTGTACCAACCGTCAACAGTAGGAACGCGCACCGGACCAAAAGTCGACTCCGCAGCCACTCCATTATGATCAGAATGCGGCACATTATAACTGTGCAGAAGGATACAGTGGAATCAGAACTCGCACCATTGAAGCAAAAAACGGTAGGAACCTCAGCGAAAGATTCAATGACTTCGTGATAAATAAAAGACATAGTCGACGACTAAAGAAGATCGATGTACGCAGAGACTTGATACATGTTGATTAGAGTTTGAAAATAGCCCTGCAGGACCGTGTGAACAAATCACCATTTAAAACAGGAATGCATTTTTCAATAGCATAGCGGGAATGAGAACTATCGCCCAGTCAGTACCGACTCATTCGGTGTTCGAACGTTCATTCTGTATGATGCACGAATCGGATTAGGGATTCCATTTTTATAGATGACACTGCGGATACTGCCGCTTGGCCTCAACCGTGACAGTACAGCCTGAGAATGCACTCACACCATCATCATCACGGGGCTATCCACAACAATGCACTTATCTCATTCTGGATCATTTGTAACAGAATGGTAAATCCACGCCACTGCCAACAGAACTGGCACAGCCAGCAATGACGGTCTTCCTCAATGCAGAATCTCCTCTCAAAAGTTGATCTCGGAAACACGTTTGGGGCATGTTTTACCGGGATTACCCTTGCAGCGATGTCAGTACTTTACCCAAGCACTGGAATTCCGATTATGTTCGAATCAGAGTCTCTCCCCCGTTTACTGGACCCAGTTTGAAGTCCCCGCTGCCGTTAAATAAGACCGCTTGGTATTTTTGCTGCAACTTCTATCTTGCTAATGCAGGCGTTTCGGCATACGCAACGGACTCGGTTGTTTCGGGATCGTTGGCAATAGGTTTTGCAATACCTGTAAACACTTGAGCCTTCGGCCTCACACATGCTGTATTTTGCCCTGACTGATCTCTATGCCGCTCCTACAGCGCCCGTTCCTCCGCAGCCCCTGTCAAGAAAACCAGGTCTCTCAGAAATGCCTTGATGAAGCTGGGGAAAATAGTTATCAGGGTTCATACTTTATCCCTCAGGAAGGCGTACAAGGGACTTTGAATGGATATATAACGTCTGGAATGATGGCATGCGGAATGGTATGTCATTATTCTGTGACCTCATCGGACGTTGTCGTGACTCACCCCTCGCATAGCCTATGTCATGATTTCTTCTGTGTCCTTTCCAGATTGTAAGCCTATTAAGCCACCGTAGCTTTCAAGTCGCCTTCTCATCTGCTCGAACTGTCCGTTACGCATGGCATCGCCCAGTCTACGCTCCGCAGCAACTGGTGGATTTTTTTATCTTCAGCTCGATGCCACGCATGATCGCTTGGATAACGTGAATCGTTACTTGATGAGAACTACTGCGGTTGTTAAAATTTGATCATTGGTTCTGACCGCAGGGCTGATTGTAGTCGTACTCAGTGGAGTTGGTGAGTCATTTGCACTGCAATCTGGGAAAAAATAAACATGACCACTGAACTACAGGGCAAAGTGGTCGCGCGGTCAGTCATACATGAAACAATATGAGTGGAGAAAAGGCGGATCATATAGTATTGCGGAGAAGATGGGCGCTTAGAGCCCTTGTCAAGATTGCGTTACAACGATAGATCAAGAGTTGGTCATGGTATTACTGTTTGCTCGGTCAAGCCAAGCATGGTTGATTTTCTCCATTTTGTTGTGAACATACCACGTCTTTCAGAGCTACATTTGATGTCGAGATACATGTTATACGAAACTGTCAGCCATTTTGACGATATCGACAAGTGATACTCCCAGGCTTTGAAAGATAAGATTAATGCCCTTTTCTTCTCCACTCAAACCTTAAAAGAGCTAGCACCCATCAGAACGCACCTTCTTCGTCTGTGATACATCGGCCGAATCGAAAGCATTAAGAGGGAAATCATGATAATACCACGTACAACGGAACAAAGGGTCAACGTCGAACCGTAGTAGACCTAGGGTTATTGACACCTTGAGAACTTGAAAGATCACTGGGTCATGTATATACTTAGCACTGGCACCGCTAGACAAACCGACATCTATGATAGTTCTTGATGCCTGCCGGTGCCAAAGACGTGACAAGACGCGTGGATGTCCCAGAATATCTTCTCCTGCTGATAAGCTCGCACGTTCGCGCGCCAAGAGGTACTGTTTTGTAAAAAACAAATGTATCGTCCTCCAACTTGGAGCCTATGTTGGACCTAGCCTAGCTATACAGGGTGTGCTTATACTCCCGCTTATCTATTGTGCTGCGCTGGCGGTATCATGATGCGGATGTGATTAATGTGATTACTAGAATGAATTACTAAGTAACCACCGGGATTGCAAGCGCTTTGTAAGCGACTGCACGCCATCGAGCTCGCAATTCGTGCATCATTCCAAAGCAAATGTAATGCAGGTAAAAAAATTATCTTTAAAATGCTGGGAGCGCGTACATTATATAAACTCTTCTCTATCTCTACATCCTCGCACTTCCATCTCCCACATCGGGTTTACCCCATCTAATCGATACCCCACTGCGATATGACCATCTCCCTATTCACTACCAACGGCCATGCAAAAGGCGTCAAGCGTCACTCGAAACGCTCGTCTGAGCTCGGCTTTTCTACGCGAGCTATTCATGTAGGGTCAGAGCCAGACCCTGCAACTGGCGCTGTCATCCCTCCCATATCTCTTAGCACGACATACAAGCAAGATGAAGTAGGGGTGCACAAGGTTCGTGTTTCAGTCTGACTCCACATGCCGTACTTATGACGTGTCTGTGGCGAGTAGGGTTTTGAGTATTCTCGTTCTGGCAATCCAAATCGCGATGCACTAGAGCGCACGCTTGTAGGCCTGGAGGCAGGTGCAGGACACGCTATCGCGTTTGCTTCTGGTAGTGCAACGACAGCCACTGTCTTGCAGTCTCTAGGTCCAAACGCACACGTACTAAGTGTGAACGATGTCTACGGCGGTACGTTCAGGTACCTCACGAGGGTCGCGAAGGAAACCATGGGTACCGAGTCGACGTTTGTAGACTTGGAGAACGCGACAGATGATGAAATACTAAGTGCTATAAAGGAGAACACAAAGGTTTGTTTTTAACTATTCAAATTTGGCCAGCCACTGACGCAAATACTTTAGCTTATCTGGATCGAATCGCCAACAAATCCCACCCTCCGACTAATTGACATTCCGCGCATAGTGGCTCTCGCGCGCCGCGCTCCATCGAAACCCCTTGTTCTCGTCGACAACACATTCCTCTCCCCATTCTATGCCTCCCCACTCCTGCAAGGCGCTGACATCGTCATTCACTCCCTCACCAAGTATGTCAATGGCCATTCTGATGTCGTGATGGGCGCTGCCATCCTTCGCTCCTCGTCTACACCAGACAGAGACTATGAAGGCCTCGTCCAAAAGCTTCGCTTCCTCCAAAATGCCCATGGTGCCGTCCCCAGTCCTTTTGACAGTTGGCTCGCCCAGCGCGGTGCCAAAACTCTCGCAGTGCGGATGAAGGCCCATGGTCTGAATGCACTCCGCATTGCCTCCTTCCTGACTTCGCACCCCGCCGTTGAACACGTCATCTACCCCGGTCTCGCCTCGCATCCGCTACACGCCCTCGCACGCACCTCCCTCAGCCCACACGCGGAGCAGTTCATCAGCAACCTACCGTCATCGAGCCTTGCACACGGTATACCATACGGTGGGATGGTCTCATTCCGTCTACGTGGTGGTGCAAAAAGTGCAGAAGCACTTCTGCCGAAGCTGAACCTGTTCACGCTTGCTGAGAGTTTGGGTGGTGTGGAGAGTCTTGCGGAGTTACCTGCACGCATGACGCATGCAAGTATCCCGGCGGCGGAGCGCGAGGCTTTGGGCATTGAGGGGCTAGTACGTTTGAGCTGTGGCATTGAGGAGGTGGAGGATTTGGTAGATGATTTGAGGGCTGCATTGGATGGGCTGGAAGATGAGGATAGTGGGTGTGAAAGCGGGTTGGTAACACCGTCGGATGCGAGTGATTACGGTGCAAATGAGCTTTGATCGTAGACTTTAGTGTTCCAGATACCTATACAGATATTATCGTAATCGTTTCTGGGTCTATTAGATGGTATATTACTTTGGAGGCTTGAGCTTGACTTCCATTGCACGATGTGCAGCCTCTGAAAGTATCAAGAAATCTAATTTGCTGAATATGCTTAACAAGCTGAATCATTCTTGGGTTGATCCTATCTAAGAATTAACGTGACCACAGCAATGTTGTCATTGATAAGAAGCCTCGGGTTGCAGATAGCGTTCGTCCCATCACAATTTTGGTAGTCAAATATAGCTAAAGGCTCGAGGGCGGTTTCATAGTGGAGAAACTGTTACAAGGCTCTTTGTCTGCATACTACGATCTGTTCGTGCCTTCTCTTCTACGGAAGGGAATTGACTAACAAACTTACAGGGTACAGCCAAACGCCTTACCTGAAGTGAGTACTCCTTTGATTCTTTTGTAATCCGGTTTACCAACTTGGCCAGTCTACACCCCAGCCGCAAAAGTACAACATTGCTCACATAATGAAAAATTCACTGATTCCAGCTATTGCAGCTGGTAAACTGGTTGGAAGCATATGCAAGTTTCCTTGATCTCGACGTTTGGACGCCCTCGACGATCACCAAGACATCTTGGAACGATAGCACGAAAACTTGGTCTGTCGAAGTCAATCGCGGCGGTAAAGATACTAGGGTTCTGACCGTTAAGTACCTCGTTTTTGCCACTGGATCTGGCGGTCGCCCGAATGTTCCCGACATCCCTGGGAAGGCATGTAACGCTCGAACCAGTGATCTAAACGTGACTCATGGACGCAGGCAAGCTTCAAAGGGTCTGCCGTGCACTCGTCAGAGTTCAAATCCGCGGCTGATCATATCGGTAAAAAGCACTCGTAGTCGGCTGTTGCAATTCTGGTTGGTCTGTCATATCTTTCATATCGAACGAGGTCTGAATATTTCATCAGCACATGACATTGCTCAAGATTTCTGTAGTCACGGTGTCGACATCACAATGTGCGTTCTTTGGTTCAGGTTATGCCATTTTCATATCTTATGGAATACTAGGTATCAATGATCGTCGACATTCGTGATCTCAACAAAGTCAGTGGAAGCAGTGCTAGGCGGTAATTGTTTCCGTCGTTGTTGGTGGCTTGGCTTGGCTTTCCTTGCCTAGCTCTCTATAATGAGGAATTCCCCACTGAGCTGGCTGATGTTTACAGTACCTCGCTACCTTGAACAGTTGTTGGGCGGCTGTTAGGCGGCTGCATCAACGCATGGTTCCTATGGTTGCTGAGACCACAGACAAGTATGTCGGACGATTCGAAGCTCACTTCCAGGTGCATTAATCACAATCGCAGGGTCATTCTAGATGGATTGGCTAAGGTTGGTTTTAAGACCAATCTTGGCATACATGGAGCGCAGTGGTGGCTACCACGTCGGTGGGTGTACCTCTAATGCATAACGAAGATGTCTTTCAACAGCTTCCAGATACCGGAGCAAGTAAATCTATTATCGACGGGGATATTAAAATCAAGAATGGTTCCGCAATCGAGTCCTTCATGGAAAACGGCCTTCGATTTGTTGATGGCACCGAGCTACAGGCAGACATGATAGTATTTGCTACGGGGTATGGTAATATTTCACTTTGACGAGCAGGACTCATAATTGCTTACAGTTACGGCGATCACCGTGACTTCATGCGCGAGGTCTGTGGAGATGAAGTCGCATCAAAAATCCCCAGGGTCTGGGGTCTAGACGATGAAGGGCAAACTGTGGGAATGTGGAGGTATTGCGGGCATGATGGTCTGTGGTTCGCAAATGGTATTTTGCATCGTTGTTATGGGCGCGTCAGTTTCATTTTGATGAACAGGTGATTTGGCTCTATCGCGCTTCCACAGTCTCTGTTTGGCCATGTGTGAGTTCATTCCTTGTGGTATATAGAGCGTTGCTGATGATTGAAAATATAGAAATAAGAGCAATCGAAGAAGGTATTTTGAATAAGGCGGATATAGTTATTTGATGACATTTCTGCTCATGATCAGGACTGGAAGCTGAAGACCTGTAAAATGTACGAGTAGTTATTGCGTGAATTAAATGTTGTATGTACAATGAATTTAAGGGAATTTTCACTGGAGCCTCAGCAATTGCAATTTTTTGTTTTGTTTTTTAATATAGATATATACAAGATGTTTCTGTACCCCCAAACTCCCAACCTAACTTGAAGCTATTCCCCCTACTACAACAGCACCACAGAAGGACTAGTAGAAACAAGCAACCTGGACCAGAAACACGTCGAGCCCGTCACGATCGACCCAAAACAACCGCAGGCCCACCTCATCTAACCTCATGTACTAACCTTCTTGTTGCAGTCTTCCTTTTGTGCTTACTTGCGTCGTCCTGCCTGACGGCGCAGGGAATACGTGTTCGAATACATAGATTCATAGTGCCACACCGCCCAAAAAACATATACGAAGGAAAGCATATGACGAGACATATCCAACATAGGGTCTACGATCCCAAAGGACTCATCCTGATGAAAATAAAGCTATTCCCCCAGCACCAGCCAGTTCCAGTTACAGAGATAGCTGTCACGTTAATGTATCACTGACATTATTGGCACGGCAAGCAAGAAGCGGGCTCACCCTTTCTTTCCTCTTATGTGCAATTCACAGACCCGGAGTCGCCTACACCTCCGTGGATGACAGAACAGCACTGGATACAATGGCAATTTTGAACGACCTCGACAATGTTGTTTATATTGCAGTAGAACAAAAATGGCATGTTCCCGTTATAACCCGCCATTCGTCCACACTCATACTTGCCTGCAAACACCCGTAAGTATGCGGTCAGATCAACTTGAAAATATGTGCTGAATATTTACTGTTCTGGGCACATGGCCCCCCGTTGGGGTTGGTGTCCGAGTCTGCTTTAACGATGCCCACCAATACTGCGGCAGACATAATCATAGTGGTGAGTGAGATGAACTTCATTGTAGCGCTCGAGGATGGGTCTCCAGTGACTGTGGATGATGTTCTTTGTTATTGGACTGAGATATTACCGCTTCGCTTTTATACACGAGCAGTAAAGGGCGGTCAGCCCAAAACATGTACCTGCTGTGCGTCCGACCAAGTAAACTAATGCGCCATGGCAACAGGACATCTCTAGACGTGGCTCTATGAGAACTTGCTGTCTATGAAAATTTGGACGCGAGCTTGACACTAGCGAGTTCTCATGGAGCCACGTCTAGCATCCGCTTTCCCAATGATCCCCTAAATGAATGACTTCTTTCTTCTATTGTTCGGTGTGGCAAGCGGTGACTTCAGTCGTTGCTTTGTTACAAAAGCCGACTTTTGTACACTATATTTGCACGATCTTTCTCTTCATTTACTCCTGAAAATATGCACAGCGTACCTTTGATGGTTTTTGACACAGGACAATGCAGTAATAAAACAACGACATGCTTGGAAGGAGGCGGCAGGTATTCTGAATAGGTGAGGATAAATTTGTTGATAGTAGCGAACGCCTGTTGAGCCTGAGAGCGAAAAGATATTGAGAAATGTCGATGTCGAACCCATGATATTATTCTAATGAATAGCCGCCACGACTGACTTTCCCAGCACAGGCAGCGCACGATTACCGTCACCAAGAGGTTCTGCTAGATCCTGTGAAAATAGTATGAGCAAGGTGCGACACCGAACAGTAGGTAACAGGAAGACAGCGAACATCATCCCCGTATAGATCGGAAGTGTGGGTAGGAGTGCCATCGTCGGTCACTGCAGAACCAATATATTTGTTCCAACAGTGAAGACTGCGGCTACCGCGTCAGGATCAGGTGACGGGTAGAGCGCCGAGCGGTGTAGCGGTCCTATTTCGAGTAGTTTTTCTTGTCATATTGGTACCTAGGATGAGTATTATGAACACAAACCAATTCATGAAAAGTACAGTTGGTCGGCGGTTGAATCATTCTTGGGTTGATCCGTTATCTAAGAATTAATAACGTGACCAAATGCTGCACAGCGTGCGAAACACCGTATCTAACAGGTTTGCGTATTACCTCAACTATCACGACAAGGCCCTCCCCCACTATCAGTGGGAGTCGGGGAACGTCCCAACCATTGTCATGCAGCATGCAAAGGCAGAGTCAAGCACGTCAGCAAAACAGGGAGAGGCAAATCGAGGAGTGCTGTCAGGCTCATCAGGACTGGTTGCTCCCCTGAAGCGTGAAAAGAATCCGCCAGCCTATGGTGCACAGCACCGCCAGGATGCACTTTGGGAAGGTGAGCCAACATATTGTGCAAAACATTAACCAAATCAATATCAAGCAGGAGGGAACGAGGCGCTTCCTCCTTCATGGAAATATATATGGATAGAAGAACCGTTTTATGAAGACTTGCTACTCGAGATGGGTTCATCAAACCGACCTTTACCGGGAGTGCGATTAGGTGAACAACGAAAGTGAGATGACTCGGAGAGCAAAAAATTCATTGTCAAGCGTAGATTCCTCCGAGCTGCTCATTATTGGATGCGAATGGCATATCTCACCACTCGGTCGGTCTTACTTCGTCAACCACAACACTCGGAGTACATCGTGGAAGAAACCAACACCAGAACGTCCAGCAGGGTGTTTGCTGCCAGAGTGCACCATCAAGGGTAGTAGGTGGTGGAAGACCGAAAGCCTTGCCTGCTTGGGCACCGATGGCGATATAATGATCATGTTGGATGATGGTTCCATTCGCCAGTGGACAAAATCTGGACGGCCAATAGGAAAACCTTTCGACAGTGACGCAGAAGATGCAATCACAATGGCAGTGTCTCCAGACCAATCGATGGTCGTAGGTATATGCAAAGATGGCAAAGTACGACTGTGGAATATAAAGGAGGGGAGCTTGGTAGGTCTCCCGTGGGAGGGGAATGATGATGAAGTGATGTGCCTCGATTGGTCACCGAATGGGGGGGAGGTAGCAGGTGGATTAAGAGACGGAACTATACGACGATGGAACCCTGCCACTGGCCGACAAATTGCACCACTGATAAAGAGCGGCGATCTATGGGTGAACACAATCAAATACTCTCCGCAAGGTGATAAATTCGCGAGTGGCAGTGAAGACGACATACTCTGTGTGTGGTCAAAGGACGGCGAGCTACTCATCGAAATCACGGGAGACAACTTGGTGACGTCGTTGTGTTGGTCTAAGGATGGCGCATACATCTTTGCCTCAGATGATCACAACATACGAAAATTGCAGTCGATTGACGGGGAAGAACTCGTCGTTTTTCGGGGTCATACCAGAAGCGTTGAATCCCTTTGTCTGACTCCTGATGGATCCCATCTTATCAGTGCATCAGGTGATTACTCAGTTCGCATCTGGGACCTCAAATCCAATCAGCAAGTCGGAGACCCACTCTGGCACGACGGCGGTGTTTCAGTTGTTGCCATGTCCTCCGATGGACAATACTTTGCCAGTGCTATCTTTGGACGTGATGCAAAAATTTATGTGTGGAGCCTGGAAGAAGCACTCCGACGCGCTCGTGGAGTTGGCGTGCGTGTGTACAAACTTGGGTCGATCTCTTTTCTAAATAGCCTTGTGCACCGGTCAGCCCGGGGGCGATGCGGAGTCTAATGCGAAGCTTAAGGCAAGTAATTGCAATTTTCTTTTCTTTCGTACCTATTTTGACGTCTCTACCAGGGACGTGCAGCTCCATTCAGAGATGTATGCTAGTTAATTTCGAACAACCTGATCCTTCACTCATGTATCTACATTAGATCTCTTTTGCCCCCAGATGGCAAAGTAATAAATCGAACATAGGCTTGACGAGATATGTGAGTCCAGCTGTATTCTTTCTGAACTGTTGCCAGGTCTGACACTAAGACAGGGAAATGACTTCTGGGGTGAAGACACAAACCACCCACCTCGTCGCTCAGCAGACATATCATCTCCACCTGGTCTGCGCAAATTGTTCGGCTTCCTGCGCTCCAGCACTCGACCTACGAATACAGTCCAGCTCCAGCCTCGGCGTTTGAATTTCAGCTTATTTCCTGTAAAACTTACCACACGTCCCGCCGATGTTGCTCATTGCCAATTGGAAGACGTGAGATGCTTGTCGTCACTACCCTTTGTGATATCACTCAAATAATTTTGCAGAGATATGGGATTGTCCCTGAGACCGACGCAGAAGCAGAAGTAGCTATGCAACGTACGAATAGCAACAATGTTGACGGCTCAACGCAACAAGGACAAGATGTAGCGAGGGTACAAGGGTCTCAAGGTCAAGTTACTCAGGGGCAAAGTTCTCCAGAAGAGACTTTGATAGGATGTTGTGGATTCTATCTTGTTCGTCGTCGGCCCGCATCGGACTAGTCCTTGCATTGGTCTAAGTGAAGGCTAGTATCGTCGCTATTGTGAGTAGTTATTTCCGGACGCGCATGAGCTGTCTCAACAATGTCATCTGATCTCTCACTGGCTCATATGATAACTGTTGAATTAGTATTTCCCTGAGCTATTCTGTTCAGTGAATCAATCTTATCATCGCCAATGAGTCCGGATCAACGTCAGTCTTTCCATCTCTCATTGCTTATCTTATTGTCTGACAATTCATGAAACCGTAACGCAGATACACATTGCACCAAATATGGACTGATCGCAATCTTGCATGACACGAGACTAACTCGCAGGATTGCAGTCAATTCATTAACACTCCTAGATATACACAAGGTTCGTGCGTTACTTTATCTCACACCATAGCATAGTAACATGTTCCGTTCTGGTGAATAGGATTTCCAAGTCGCGTATTCGCAATCGGGCAGTTCAAAGAACTGTGAGTGCAGAAGCACTCCTGCCTCAATTAAAGCTATTGAGGTTTGAGAGTTTGGGTTGTGTAGAAAGTCTTGCAGAGTTACCTGCGCAGATGACGCATGCGAGTATCCAGCAGTGGAGCGTGAGGCTTTGGGCATTGAGGGGCCAGTGCACTTGAGCTGTGGGATTGGGGAAGCGGAGGATTTGGTGGATGATTTGAGGGCTGCGTTGGATGGGCTGGAAGATGAGGATAGTGGGTGTGAGAGTGGGTTGGTGACGCCGTTGGATGTGAGTGGTCATGGTGTGAATGGGCTGCATTAATTATAAGTAGGCGTTGGTGTTCTGGATATCTATTTAGATATTATCGTAATTGTTTATGTGCCTATTGGATGACTATCATTGCACAATGTGCAGTCTCTGAAATATACTTCACTGAATATAGAAACAGGTGTGCGGTTGAATCACTCTGGCCAGCGTTTAATCGGTTTAGTAAGAACTTAGTAACGTCTAGGATCCCATTGCACATGATATCGCCTAAGTAAGGCGCCCGCAAGTACAGCATGCAAAACAGCACATCTGACAGGTCTCTTCATTACCTCCACTATCGCCAACATCCCGATAACCGTCATGCCACATGCAAAGACCACAAGCACGTCAGCGAAACAGAGAGAGGAAGATCAAGGATTGATATCAGGCTCATCAGAAGTAGTTGCTCCCCGATTCAATGTAAGTATATTACAATATATTACGAAGTACTTGGATATATGACAATATCTTCTTCTCACCAGTCCTCTGATACCCCACCGTCGAAGCTCGAAAAGAATCCGCCAGCCTATGGTGCACAGCACCGTCAGGATGCACTTTGGGAAGGTGAGCCACCATATTGTAAACCAAATTGACTGACTCAATATCAAGCAGGAGGGAATGAGGCGCTCCCTCCTTTATGGCGTGAACATATATGGCCAGAGGAACGACGGTTTTATGACGACTTGCTACTCGCCATGAGTTCATCACACCGACCTTTACCGGGAGTGCGATTAGGTGAGCAATGAAAGTGCGATGACTCCGAGTCGGAGAGAAAAAAATTCATTGTCGAGCGTAGATCACTCCGAGCAGCTCATTACTGGATGCGAGTGGCACACGCCCTCGCACGCACCTCCCTCAGCCCACACGCGAAGCAGTTCATCAGCAACCTACCGCCATCTAGCCTTACACATGGTATACCATACGGTGGGATTGTCTCATTCCGCCTACGTGTTGATGCAAGGAGTGCAGAAGCACTTCTGCCGAAAAGGAGGTGGAGGATTTGAGGACTGCGTTAGATGGACTGGAAGATGAGGATAGCGGGTGTGAGAGTGGGCTAGTGACGTTGTCGGATGTGATTGATTATGGGCTTTGATCGTAGACTTTGGTGTTCCAGATATATATTATCGTAATTGTTTTTTTTCTATGCCTGTTGGACGAATTTCATTGCACGATGTGCAGTCTCTGAATGTATCGAGAAATATAATTCACTGAATATAGAAACAAGCGTGCGGTCGAATCATTCTGGCCAGCGTTTGATCTATTTAGTGCCTAAGATCCCACTGCACAGGATGACACCTAAGCAAGGCGCCTGCAAGGATGGCATGTGAAACAATATATCTGACAGGTCTCTTCATTATCTTTACTATCACCAACATCCCAATCACTGCCATGCCACACGCAAAGGCCGAGTCAGGCATGTCAGCGAAACAGAGAGGGACAAATCAAGGAATGCTGTCAGACTCATCAGGGCCAGTTGCTCCCCTGAAGCACGAGGATAATCCGCCAGCATATGGTGCACAACACCGCCAGGATGCACTTTGGGACGGTGAGCCACCATATTGTGCAAAACATTGACCGACTCAGTATCAAGCAGGAGGGAATAAGGCGCTCCCTCCTATGTGGACAGAGGTTAAGGAGGGGGATGGCAGACCACGATATTGGGACGGTGCACTCTTCATGATCTCATCACGCCGACCTTTACCGGGAGTGCGACTAGGTGAGCGACCAAAGTTGGATAAGAACAAAAACCTCACAGTTGAGCAGATTTCTCCTGGCAGCTCATTCCCGGATGCGAATGGCACATCTCACCGTGTGGTCGGTCCTACTTCGTGAACCACAGCGCTCAGATAACGTCGTGGAAGAAACCATCACCAGAACGTCCAGCAGGGAGTCTGATGCCAGAGTGCATCATCAAGTGTGTCAGCTCGTGGCATGATGGAAACCTTGCCTGCCTGGGTACCAGTGGCGATATAATGAGTATCTCAGATGGTTCAATCCGCCGGTGGACAAGAGCTGGACGGCCAGTGGAACAGCCATTCGACGACGACGGAACTGTAATAATAACAGCAGTTTCTCCAGATCAGTCAATGGTCGTAGGTAAATGCGGAGACGACAGAGTACGGCTGTGGGACATAAAGGATGGAAGCGTGGTAGGTCACCTATGGCAGGGGAATAATGATGAAGTGAGGTGCCTCGATTGGTCACCAAATATGGCTGAGGTAGCAGGTGGATTAGAGGACGGCACTATACGACGATGGAACTCTGCCACTGGCCGACAAATTGCACCACCGATAAAGAGTAGTGATGGATGGGTGGCGACAATTAAATACTCTCCACAAGGCGACAAATTTGCAAGTGGTGGTGAAGACAGCATAATCCGTATGTGGTCAAAGGACGGCGAGCTGCTCATCGAGATCAAGGGACATGAAAAATGGGTGATGTCGTTGTGTTGGTCCAAGGATGGTGCACACATCTACTCTGGCTCACGTGATGGCACGATTCGAAAATGGCAATCAATTGACGGGGATGACCTCGTCATTATTCGGGGCCATACCGCAACCGTCACCTCCCTTTGCTTGTCTTCTGATGGATGCCATCTTGTCAGCGCATCATTTGACTACTCCGTTCGCATCTGGGACCTCGAAACCGATCAGCAATTCGGAGACCCACTCTGGCACGATGATAACCTCTTGGTTGTTGCTATGTCCTCCGATGGACAATACTTTGCCAGTGCTACCTCTGGACTAGATGGAAAAATTTATGTGTGGAGCCTGGAAGAAGCACTCCAGCGCGCTCGTGTGGTTGGCGTGCGTGTGTGCATTACTTGAGTTGGTGTTTTTTCCTCAATAGCTTTGCGCATTGGCCAGGGCAATGCAAAGTCCAACACGCAGCCCAAGGCGAGTGCTTTTTCTATTATTTCATACCTCTTCTGACTTCTTTGCCAGGGACGTGCAGCTCATTCTAGAGATGTACGCTAGTTAATCTCGAACAACATGATCTTTCGCTCATTTATCTCGTCAGATCAATCTCGCCCCTAGACGGCAAAGGAACAGAGGCTTGGCGAGACATGTGAGTCCAGTTCTATTCCTCCTAAGTTCTTGCGAGGCCTGACACTGAAACAGGGAAATGACTTCTGGGGCGATGGCACAAACCATGCGCCTCGTCTCTCAGCAGACACATCATCTCCGCCTGTTCTACGCAATTTGTTCGGCTTCCTGCGCTCTAGCGCTCGACCTACAAGTGCAATTCAGCTCCAGCCCCGGCGTAGCTTATTTCCTGTAAAACTTACCAGACGTCCCGTCAATGTGTCTCCTTGCCAATTGGAAGACGTGAGTACCTTGTCATCGCTACCCTTTGTAGTATCACTCAAATAATTTTGCAGAGATATGGCATTGTCCCTGAGACCGACGCAGAAGCAGCTGCAGCTATGGAACGTGCGAACAGCAACAACGTTGACAACTCAACGCAGCAAGGACAAGCTGTAGCAAGGGCACAAGGGTCTCAAGGACAAGGTGCTAAGGGGCAAAGTTCTGATTTCGAAGCAGGAGAGCCTCTGATAGGATGCTGTGGATTTTATCTTGTTCGTCGTCGGCCCGCATCGAACTAGTCCTTCCACCAGTTTATCATAAAGATCATTGTGGTTCTTCTGCGAAATCATTCCTCAGCGCGTATGAGTCCTTGAGGATGGAAGAGCGGATATAGTGGAGGCTTCGAGGAGTGCGCTGAAAGATGAGGATAGTGAGTGAGTGCCATCATCGCGTGTGAATGATGATGGGCCTGGTTGGCTTGGCTGATGGATTGAATGGGAGATGTGTGTAAAATGGTATCGCTGTAATTGTTCGAATTCGTAAACACTGCCTGGCTTTCGATCACGCCTGTACGTAGACGAGCCAGATACGCCGACGGTTCAAGTTAAGCTGCGGTGGGCACACATTGTCCGGGCCAAGACGACTCACTAGACCATGTTCTGCTGCTGCCATGGAAGAACAATCATATGTGATAGCAAGTTGTCTCGTTCGTTATCGACCCACCTCGAATTAGTCCCTCCATGTGATGAGACTATTGCAGGTTCTGTGAGATATTCCTCGAACATACCAGCCTCTTCGTACTGTGGTTTGAACGTAGAATTATCAGTGCGATGTACTGGGATGCTAGCGGTGTCTGTGACGCATTGGGCATTGGAATCGATAATGAGTGGGTTCTGAAGTGCGTAACAAATCATGTACCATATTCTGAAGCTTTATGCGACCGTACAAAGTCCATGACGTCTGACAGGAGGTGAACGACGGTGAAGAGGGCTTTATATCGGCCTTTATTTAGTGGTGGCCTGCTGCACCAGGGCGGCCATCACCAGGCAAACGTCATCGCTACACAGACTGATGAAATTGCATGCCATCCTTACACCAGTCAGGGGCATGCAGGGGGCACAAGACGCTAACGCGTAAGATATGGGTTCAGTGTCATCGCTCGGGTAACTAGGTTTCTAGGACAATGCATTGATTCCAGTATCAGATAATATAGACGATCACGAACGATAATTTCTTCGTCAAGACCGACACGTTGGAGGAGCAGTGACAACCGAAAAATAGACGAAGGGAATTATGGAGCGGTGGAAAGTGGATGACGACGCGATCCTGATAGGGTACTCCAGAAAATGCCGAATCACAAATGTTCTCGCGTACAAAAAGACGGATCCCCACAATGCACAGTACAATTTGTCCCAAAAACTGTACTTTGCGTCGCCTCTCGTTTGCGATCTGGTTTCAACGTTTCAACCCTCCAGTTCTCGTTCTCCAGACCATCCAAGATGACGACCTCTGGGCTACGTCCCTGAAATATGTATAAGACAGACCCAACAAGTTTCACGACCAACTTACCTACGCGAGAATCGTGACAGCGACGAGCAAGGCGCATGAACACGAACTATTGAAGGTAAGCCTGGAAACACAATCAAAAGCACAATGCAAAGGTGATTGGAGGTATAAAATTGTTGTCTGCAAACTCTAGATCCGTGAATACATGATGAAGTCCACAGTTGAGAGTTATACCAATCCACGAAAAAGGGAGGGAAAAAACTGGAAAACGAGTGTGGCCATTAGGTAAAAAGAGTGAACGGCAATAAGTACGACGAGACTAAAGCTCGGGAATGATAGCGATATCTAACATATACGAAACCGTGTCCTCATAGAAGGTGAGCTCAGTTACCAAAGTACTGTGATGGTGTGAAATCTACCTTAACGATACCCGTACGTCTAGAAATATGCCCCACGAAGGCGGACTACACCATCTTTGAGTCGCTCCGTAATCACAGGACTCGCTGCTGGACGGTATTTGTAATCCTTCGAGTATCTGTGCAAGAGGAGAGTCAGACTCTGCACCATTCGCCAAAGCACAAAAATATGGAGTTTGCACACAGAAGGATAACTCACCTTTCAGCATGAATGATCTTAGGTTGTGATCTCTTGGGCTGCACCTGGAATGCAGCCCAGAAGAGGAACGCAACCAAGAGAAGGAGTGCAATGCGCTTCCAGAGCGAAGGTGCGGGGCGGTTAAATCGGGGATCTGCATGGAGTTGCTGGATTTGAGACCGCAGTTGTGGATTAGCTTCTATTTCAGCGGAATCGTCGGTTGAGAGTGCCTGATATTGAGCTGACATGGCGACGCTGGCACAGTGATAAGTCGAAAAACTAGTGAAATGTATTGCGGTGGGTTGAACGGTCGGAGATTTAAATTGATTGCTCTACGTGGCGGTCGCAAAGTCCGTGGACTGTGGTGAACTTGTCCAATACTTAAGTACAAGCCATCATAATTTAGCATGCTGCGTACACGTGTACTGTGCTCGGTGATACAGTAAGACTCGAGATAAGTAGTATATTAATCAAGCAGGTCGATCATCGAGATACTTTATATATAGGTGAGCTACAACCGCAATCTATACCCAAAGCGTACCATAACATACATCGAGCGCTGAACTAGTGAGAAGGAACACTGGCTAGCTCTTCTTCTACAAAGGAAGCAGCATCCCCAGTGGAAGGACGAACTTGAGGCTCGGCTGACCAACATCTGCGCATGAAATCCAAATGCTGCTGGCTAACGGCCACACCAGATTCGGGCCGATATGGCTCTATACGATTGAGCTGAGCACTGAATATATGTTGAACTTTTTTAAGCCACCAGAAGGGCAGTCTACCCGAGAAGACCTGTACGAAGCAAGATTCAGGTGAAACTCGAACAGGGTCCAGCATACGCGACTCACATGGAGCATGATACAACCGAGCGAAAATACATCGCTCTGACTGTTCGGTTTTGGGAGATCGGCATCGCTGTCACTGCCATCTGAAGTGTTTTGTGGTTCCGGTGAACCGAGCAATTCGGGCGCTATCCACCGGACAGCGCCACTCGAATGAGAGTTGTAGTACGATCTGTCAGCCTCTGCGAGAGCCACTGAGAGACCGAAATCTGCCAAAAATGCATTGCCTTCTCGGTCGATCACAACATTTGTCTTCCAATTATAGGGTTAGCTTGAAGGACTCTAAAGCATCGAAGAGTACATACACTGGTCAGGTCCCCGTGAATTACTTTCTGTTCGTGAACTAGAGAGGTTGTCAGAGAGAAAACGTGTATCTGGAACGGCAGTCTCGTACGATATCTCAAGCCATCCACCACCTGTTTCAGCTAAATAAGGGCATCCATTGAGTAAGGACTTATATTTGGCATGATAAATCTCACCAGTTTTAGTTTCTGTCCCATAGTGAGGCTCGTGCGCACCAGGTAGCTATCAAGTGCCCCGTTATGCATCCATTCGGAAACAAGAGCAGGCAATTGTCCAAAACCGGAGACCGTGCCGTGAAGAGTGAGAACATGCGCATGCCTCAGTCTGACCCACACGGCTACTTCGCGGCGAAGTCTCTGCGAACAGACATTCGATGCACTTCACATTACGGAATGAATGTTAGCATACCTTCTTCGCTTTTTGAACGGCTTCTTTATTACGTATGTCCGTAATCCTGATAGTTTTGACAGCAACCTGTCCAACAGATATTGGTCGATGAGACTCGCAGCCTGAGGGTAACATCATATGTACCTCAGTAGTTGCTGAATTGATAATCCTTGAACACCTCCAGATATCGCCCAAGCCGCCAGATGACGTGGGATATTCTGATTGCTTCCTGATAGATGTAGGCGGAATGGCAGATGGGTCCGTATCGAAGGCCACTCTGTGTCTCGTGTCTCAATGTCTGCAGTTTATGAGGAAATTTGCACTTACTGCCGCGCTTCATGTGCACCAGAGGTAATCGGCTGTAGCATAATCACGGCGCCGCTGTTATCTCATGAGGAAGTGTCTTATAACCCAGAGCTGTGCGAGTTACTCACGATGCAAGATTACCATTCACTATGTTGGATGGTATGGAAAGGTTGAGCTGCACTTGACCTTGCGGTGCAGATAGTTGAATTGGTCCATTTCTGTGGCCTTCATGAGTGCTATCCACCGTGATATGGTGATTAGACATACGGCTGCAGAGTGGTAATATCTGATACTGGTACTGGTACGACTGGTATCGTCAATGGGCGGCTATTATAGCATGAGTGAACCATTTCTTCATGATCCTTGGTTGAAAACTCACGTTGCGGGGTCTGCGAAGGCGGCAGCATTGTCTACAGAACTGCCATTGCGATGATTTTCAACCTGTCAATATGATGGTAGGATCAGTGGTTGTATCTAACGACTGAGAAAATTAATGCCTCACAGTTTGGGTCTGTCGCTGGGACTTTCGAAAAAATGACGCGCAGCAACCCATAGTAATAGTAATGAGTGAACGGAGGTCTGTGTTGAGCTGAACAGAAGGGTCAGCAAGAACGAGCAGGTTTAAGAACAGCTGTCCGCGTCTAATATGCGCTGCATGGTTGAGGGACGGTCTCTAAAATTATGCTAGCGCCCTGCCACCATGACAGGCCACCACAAGCCTTTGGCGCAATGGATGGCCAACCAAACCTCATCATGATTTAGTCACTGGGTGATCCTATGGGGCCTGTGGTGGATCTCATTAATTGAATCAGACCTGACTTGCAGTGAGGTTCAAACGTGGAGTGGCACGGAAAATCTATTGCGTTTTATAATTAATTATTGATTGTTGCCGATATATATCCCCGTTTGAACCGCGTCCGGTCCATATTTTGTTTAGCTCCGGACCTCCCGTGTCACAGTTTTAACTCTTGTATGAACCGTTCGAACTTGTCCGGTTTCTTGGGGAAACTGGATGTAATGTTCAAATTGTGAAATGTGATGTTGAAAACTGTTCAGTTGTTCAGTACTACTAGTGTGATTATCATAACTAAATCTGCCGCATCCAAGAGTTAAGGATGGGATCCGAACGTGATTTGGTGCACTGGTGGCGGCCTCTCCTTGGCATGCAATACAGACTCACGCCGGGCTCGCAGTAAAGACGGTGGGACAATGATTCATGACTCATTGATGCAGGTCAAACGAACGCTGCTGAACAGGGTCCAGGAAGGTTCTCCTTAGAACCTGTCCGGTCTGTATTCAGATCCGACAAAAATTTGCTCGAACCGGACTTGAACCGGACGTCGATAACGACAACATCAGCTCGTCACCCTGGGCACTGCCGCCACTGCGGCAGGTTTGGATCAAGCAACACCACAGAACGAGGCAAAAACGCTTCATCGGCCAAAAATAAGGGTCTGATTCGAATTCACGACGCGTTGTTCGTATTATTTATATAGCTATAGTGGCAACAAGCAGCGAATATACAGCAGAGACGTCATTATTGGCTGAAGAATACGTACTACGTAGTCACTGTGTACCCAGAGGCAGTGCGAGCTGTAGCGGTGATAGGCAGACCCGACCACGATGCATGATGCAACGATCTGTGCTGTGAACCAGAAACCGCATTTTGAGCTATGACTCGGCAAGTGAATGTGTTCTGATTTTCGGTTACAGTGGAGCTACCACCTGTGATCAGAGTGTCCTTCGATCGAGACCTGCAATCAAGAAATCACTGTGCTCATGACTCACGAGCTCTAAGCGACACGGCTATAAGCGATAGAACGAGTTGAGCATGGTCGTTTGCGATGTGTTGGTGTATTGTTGAACTATGTGGAGGCACTGCCGCCGATGTCCTGTGTAAGGTATCTGGGTTTCAATTTCTTTGGATCGATGCAACACGATGAGGAGAGTCGTCAGAAGCGTGTCTAACGATGATGACGACGAGTACAACGGTTCAGGTTTGTGATTCGCGACCGTCTTTCTTCCGCTTTCCCGCTCCCACACCTCGACTAAATATACTGTGTCTGCTCACTTGACGCTGACTACTACAAGCAGATATGCAAATGTCGGATTCGGGCTCTGATGCGGAAATGGAGGTCGAAGAGGTGAATCGGAAGCTCCAGGAAGAAAACGATGATAATGAAGGGGAGGATGAGAAACTAGAGCCTGAGGATGAGGATGAGGAGCCTGAACCTGAACCAGAGGTGCGTCGATATCATATATTTCTGGCTATTGGCATACTGATACCATGTGTTCAGGATGCTCCAGAGTCTGAGGAGGCTTCTCCTCCTCCATCTCCGCCCAAGCAGCCCCGTCTTAAGATCAAACTCAAGCTTCCGAGCGCGCCCAGCACCGAAGATACTGGATCGCGTGGGCGTTCTGGTGGTGTGTCCTGCGTAGTCATCCTCGCGCGCACGACTGACTGTTGAGCTTATGACGCGTAGATATCGATGTAGAGTCAGAAGATGAAGACGACGAAGAGGCGGTGGGCTCTACGCGCCCGATGACTTCCCGTCAGGCGGTTCTCGCGAGTGTTGTAGGCTCTTCGCATGTATCTCTATGTGCGTTCCTTTGTTGTCTGCTCCTTTACTCTCGCTTCGAGTTCCTAAACATTTCTCTGACTGATGGTTGTATTGGTATCTTCATATGTTGCCATGTTTACACATTTCATGTCCCTAGCCGCTGAGCGCTAACTTTCATTGACAGCTACTGGCGAATCCTCTCGAAAGAAGAAACAACTCACAGAGAGCGAGCTTGCACTTCGACGCGAAGAAACGGCACGAAAACGTCGTAATCTCACCGAGAAAAAGCTCGAGGACGAGAAGGTTCGTCAGTTATGTTTACTGTGTCTAGGAGGGAATTGAATATCTTTCGTAACTTCACGCACCATCAAATGAACATCCGATATTTCATTTGTCATCCCTACTATGTCCATCTCACCCCTTCAGGCAGAAACTATCAACCGCCTCCTCAAAAAGCAGTCCAAGTCAAAGGCCAAGCGCAGCGCGCTCTCCACCGCAGAGGCCAGTGCATCCGAAGGTGAGCGTGAGGTCGAGCAAGAGGAAAAGGAGGTCATCCTACCGACCACTTGGCGGTGGGTGTCCAGCACACGACCTCTGCCACGGGAGGATATTGCTCAGGGCAAGATGCGCCTCACATTAGGCGTGCCTATCTCTGTCCTTTCCAGCACTTTGCTGGCACCACAGCCACCTCTACCAAAAGAAAAACCACAGTGTGACGTCCCTGGATGTACTGAAGCACGAAAATACCGCCTAGTACGCGATTGGGTCCGCGGGGCATGTGGTCTCACGCATCTAAAGGTTCTAGAGGTGGAGGCGAGTACGAAGATGGAGATTGCGTGATCAGGAGTTTCACGGCACTTTGAGAGGTGCGTGCACTTTGTCTTGTGACATGTCGCTTCGGGACTGATGATTTTCAAGGTGTAGATCGTCGTCATTTGCAACTTGTTCTCGCAGTTACTTGTTAAGCTTATTCACTGTACTATGAATTCATGGCGCTTTCACTTGGTTTACATAACCTTTTAGGCGTTGACATTTCACAACGGTAGTTGTGTCCTAATGGAGATTATCCCCTGGCCTGGAACTTCAGAAGTCCTGTTGATCGGATAGATTATTGCGTTGCTTGACAAGGTTTCTTGTCCCGAAGGCGTGCTGGGAGCAGAATTATCTGTGGGCAATTGTGCCGGCATAACCGCCAGCAGAAGTTTCAAAGTACTAGACGGTTAATGTATGGCAAGTGTCACTAGGAAACACGATCAGAAGATATCAGCGTGTCCACATCCTACTGTCCGTCGTCGTGTGAGGTGGGAACAACGTTTGTGATGATATCCTCGTCAAGATTTCGGTGGAAGACCTCGGTTGACATGTTCCAATTCTGCAAAATCATAAAGTTGGCCTTTTGACACTTAATTTTCGTCATACTTGTTGATGTCTTTCGGATCCGCAAACCGCTTCCTGATTCCCTCCAGCCGATCTTCAGGTATTTTGGAAGACTGTTTTGGTTGACATTTGAGTGCAGGACTTTCGAGACTTCATTTACTTGACAAGGTGCGGCGATTTCTCTACTGAATAACATATTCTTTCGTCTTGGTTCCTTCAACCTGTCATTCTGGCAGTAGCTCCACACAAGACCATTTCTCGCACAAGAGAATTGCCTCGCGATGTCTGAGCCGTTCTCAATGAATTATCGACCAAAAAGAGCCTAGCTGGCTGCTTGTCATGCATATACTAATGTCTGATGGCAAGCGGTGACATGTTCGCTACAGCGCTTAAGGACGATACTTTTTGGTGGTACGGTTTCAAAATTCAGGCATCTCTTACTTTTTTCTTTTGGTCGGTGACCCAGTCTGTCCGCGTCACATTCACGCTCTGTTAACCAGTCTTTTTGATAGACGCTATTCCTAAATTTCGATGTCGACCATTCAGCTATATACCATACTAATCTCAGTCAATAGCATGTATTACTGTTACAGCCTTTTCTTATCAGCTCGTTATCACTAGTTGCAGCTGGGCTCAGTTCGGTTCAAGTAAGGTTCCTGGCGGCTCTCGGAGTTCCGAGTGAAGTTAAGACTAGACTTTACTTGATCCTCGAACAGCGATGGACCGTGGAACATCGTCTCAGCCAAGAATTGATCAGTGGGTCCTCGTGATTTTCTTCCAGGACTTTGGCTGGCTTCGGGCTAGTATTATGATCGAACTGATCGGTGGTTTCGTTTCCAGATCTGTGCAGACGGCAGACGGCGGTGCAAGATAATCACTGCAGCGTTAGCCCCTAGCTTTTCATTGACAGCTTACATAACTTCGGACATTCTATCGTAAATTAATCACAGATCGGCACAGGCTATTTAGTGTCCATGTGCAAGATGCCATTCAGTATATTCATTATCAGGATATATGGAGTATTCAAAACCCTTTCATTACGGAAATCTGTATAGCAAGGGTTAACTAGAACTAACCAGGGTTCTATCTAGTGGACGACCATCAGATCTGCCACAGCACTGCACAGTGCGATGAGCGGACTCGTTCCTCCCATGCCAAGGGTTAGCCGACGCGGGGGCGAACAAATTAGGAAACATTCAAGGTCCGCGTATGAATTTCATTTACGAGAGGATCACCAAGTCTACGCATACGACTTTCAAAAATTTTGAATTGAGAAACACTGTTTTGTATAAATTCATACTTATCATGCAGTTCGTCCATCTCAATTCCCCAGATAACGTATCATGTCGTCCTCAGGCCCCACCCTTGCACAAATCGAAGGTGAGTCTGGCTGCTTGACTTGCTGTGTCGTTTGAGTTAATACTCCTTTTTAGTTGTAGATATCGTCCTCACAATCGTGGCTTCCATTGTCACATCCTTCCGCTTGTGTCTTCGTACGCGGCAGCGTCGTCTATGGATCGACGATATGTGGGCAGCCCTCGGCATGATATTCATCTTCATGTTATTAATTGCCGATTGCTTGTATCTGCAAGACTACGGTGAGGGTCTTCCCAGTGTCTATGTCGCATACATCTTGCTGAAGAAACGCAGAAAGGTACCCTCAAGACACAAGGATAGCATTATACTATATGTGCGTTATGCTTTCTTCTTATACTTGAGAGACGTTACACTGAATACCACATCAGGATTGCTCAATTCTTTTACGCAGTCGTATGGTAAGATACCGACGCTCTAGCGGTGGCATCTAAAAGTGGCGGGGCTGACGTGCACGCACAGGTCATCGAGGCTATCCATATTGTTTACCGTTGTGCGACTCACAGTCCCGGGAACTTCTATTAGGAAGACTCTTATATCCATCGCCATTACCTTCGGCGTCGTATGGGCTCTACTTTTTTCACAAGTGTGGTGGGTTTGCGAAACTGAGCCCGGCTGGAAAAGACTCCCACATCCGCAGTGCGATCTCGGCAGAAGTGTTGCGATAGCGCAGATAATCAGTGAGGATTTCTTGTTCGTCGAATAATCGGTCTTCTGACGTAGTATTTCAGCCGACGTTCTAGGAGACGCTGTCCTCATCTTCGCTCCATTCTCCCTCATTTACAGAGTCAGATTGTCGAGCCCGCAAAAAATCCGGGTACTAGCCGTCTTCTCTGCATCGATGATAACCACGATCGTCAGTCTCGCCCATGCATATTACATCTTCTCCGGTGGAGGGACAAAGGAGGTCATGGCTGCTATAGTCGAGGTGCGGTATCAGCGTATAGACCTCGAGTGCTGCTGATCATATCATGCTTTAGGCTTCCATGTCTCTAATCGTCGCTAACTTGAGCGTCGTCGTCGCTTTCTTCTTCCATTTGAGTGCAGAAGATGATTCGACTCCGGCGTCCATCGTAACTTTCGGATCACTGCCTAAGAGGCGCGTTCGGGATCCGCTCGCTACGACTATTACAGGTGCTGAAAGTGCCCCGATCGTACTGGAGGACCTCTCTCAGTCGCATCCCCGTTCTCTCAAGACAAGAGACGACGACGAGATTACTTTGGACATCAAGGAGGGAAGACAGACGAAGCCGGATGATTTGTGTTAGAGCACAACGACGTCGATTCGTTCTGGGTCTTTGTCGATCGTGTTAGAGCACGGGGAATATTAATATAGTATCTTGTTGATTCGCTGTACATGCTGACCTATGTCGATAGTCCAACGAAACTGTTCATAATTACATACCGACCTAACCGTATCTATATTAAAGTAATGCAGAATCTTGCTGTATTTCAGATAACCTGGGCAGACTCTATTGAACGCGCCAGGACACAACTCCGACTACATTTAATGGATGTTGTGATATATCATGATACATATGAAAGGATTTCGTTACATGTGAAAGCACGGCACCGCCGCGGCAATCAGCATAATCACAAGCAAGAACCCACCGGTCCACCGATGGGCCGAACCGTGCTCTACTTCCGAACTGATCCCTCACGATTAATTGTCAGTCATCCCTGGATGCGAATGGCGCATCTCACGGCCCTGCGGTCAGTCCTATTTAGTCGACTACGACACTCGGAGTATATCGTAGTGCAGAAGATGATTCGACTCCGGCGTCCATCGTAACTTTCGGATCACTGCCTAAGTGTCAGCAACACCCTAAGTCTGTTGTTATAGCTCTGATGACGATCCCGTAGAAGGGAACAAGATAGATTGCTGATTACAAGACTGCGATGGTAGAATAAACAAGGTTGAAAACAGGAGACAGAACTATCGACGAATGCATGATAACTCAAGTTGAAAGTCCGCTAGTTCCGGAAACGGTCTGACCGTTTCTTTAAACCTTTTCACCACACTAAGAAGCGCGTTCGTGACCCTCTTGCTATGACTATTACAGGTGTTGAAAGTACCCCGATCGTACTGGAGGACCTCTCTCAGTCGCATCCCCGTTCTCTCAAGACAAGAGACGAAGATGAGATTACTTTGGACATCAAGGAGGGAAGACAGACGAAGCCGGATGACTTGTGTTAGAGCACAACGACGTCCGGTGGAAGACCTCGGTTGATATGCCCCAATTCTGCAAAATCATAAACTTGGCTTTTGACAGTCCCGCTTGTCGACGTCTTTCGGATCCATGAACCTCTTCGTGATCCCCTCCAATCGATCTTTTGTTTTTTTTGTAGATTTCGGAAGACTGTTTCGGTTGACATTTGATTGCAGGACTTCCGAGACTTCATTTGCTTGACGACTTCTCTACTGAATATATTTCTTTCGTCTTCCCATCTAGTTCTTTTGATCTGTCACACTCTGGCAGTAGCTCTACACAAGACCATTTCTCGATGTAACAAATGGGCGTCATTTCCCCGCCTACTCCTACGAGTGTCCCGAGATCCCTTGGACACCCCGCCAGAGAACTGCCTCGCGATATGTCCGAGCCGTGTCATTCTCAATGAATTAGCAACCAAACAGAGCCTAGCTGGCTGCCCATCATGCATATACGTCTGATGCAAGCGGTGACATGTTTGCTACAGCGCCCAAGGACGATACTTTTTAGTTGTACGATTTTAAAATTTAGGCACCTCTTACTTTTTTCTTTTGATTGGTGACCCAGTCTGTGCGCGTTACATTTACGCTCTGTTAACGATTTATAATTTTGATAGGCGCTGTTCCTAAATTCGATGTCGACCATTCAGCTATATACCATACGAATCTAAAAGAGATTATCTGTTCAAGTCCAAGATTCCATGTATGCGACCGAATACTTGCGGTCAAAAAAGATACATGTAAGAGATGTGCATTTTTGTGCGCATGTGTGGGAGCTGCACAAAGACAGAACCTTCGGTGTTCGTTCGAGAGGCGCTCCTAGCGTCCGCGCAGTGTAGTCTAGCTGGGCCTCGACCAGGGTAGGAATAAGTGTTTTCCAGCTGTTATACAAGCGAGTAGACGTGAGATCAGGCTGGATACGACGAGTCGGTGTGGATTGTGAGGCAGGTTGGGGAGGACAGTTGTCGTGAGGCTCAAGGATGCTTCCCAAGCCTCATGAGCGTCTTCCTCGAGGACCACAGTGTCTGCTTCTGTCCCTGCCAGGACAGGTGAAGTTTATTCAGGCTTCGCCGAATCTGCAAGTAAGCTGGCTATCTTTGCGAGCAACTGGCGCTGTTTAGCCTTCTGACCTGGTACTTCAACAAGTACCTGGGTTTTCTGCTTGTCTCTGAGTTTCTGCGGGCTGGAAAAGTGGGTACCCAACCCAGACGACGTGCCAGGTTGAGCAGCGCGGGTGCCTGTGCGTGGGGCCATGGTGTCTTGGAGGCTGAAGCAGGAGAGCTGAGAGCAACCCGAGGTATTCGATTGTTGACAGAATGCGCAGGAGGAGTGCGCTGCGCAGGGGCAGAGCAGAGCAGGAGGACAATGAGCCAACCAGATATTGTTAGATTGTAGCTATATTTACAAACGGAGGATCCTCCCAGATGAAGGGGTCTTTCAGCCTAAAAGACCCTCTATTGGCACCGAGAAGTACTGCCTGAGGTAAGTTCCGAGACTAGGCTAACTCCGACGAAATGGGGGTTTAATTTCAGCAAGTTCCGCGGCATTTGCTGGCCTGTAACGTTCTTTCTTATCGTCATCATCATACAGGATGTTGCTCACTGAATCGCCATGTTCTCATGATGACCCTTAACGTTGACATCATAGCGTCTCCATATTTCATCCGCGAGGAAACATCCGAGCCGCCTGTATCATGTCTTATCGCCTCTCGGGCCGTTTGACCTCGTCCCTATACTAACAGCTAAATGTACTTGGTCAAGTTCAGATTAATGTGAGTACAAACCCACCATCTGCCTGTTTACCCTGACTGATGCGATTGTTCGTCGCAGGGTGTACGAAATCCCTTCGGCTGCTGGTCCTGCTTGTATCCATGAAATTCGAATTGACGTGACACGTGTTTTGCAGGGTGTCGATCTCGATGATTCGTCTCAGCCAATAATTGATCTGTGGGTCCTCGTGATTTTCTTCCATCTGATGGGCCATGGCAGGCTTTTGGTTGGCTTCTGCCAGCGCGCAAGCATTAATGATGATCATGGTGTCGGAACTGATCTTTCGTCTGTGCAGACCGGCAGTATTTGCAAGTACTGTTGCGGTGCACTGCTTAACCTGCAGCGTTAGCCCCTTGACAGGTACGGAAATTCTAAATTTCTATCGTATGTAATACATCCATGACACTGATCGGCACAGGCTATTTAGTGTCTGGCAAGATGCATATGAAACATGCGGTATCTTTATGAAAGCCTTCGATTAAGGAAATGTGTATCGCAAGGGTTATGTAACTAAAACTAAGCAGGGCTCTACATAGTGGACGACCATCAGATCTGCGACAGCACTGTGTGATGAGCGTGCTCGTTCCTCCCATGCTAACGTTTAGCCGACGCGGGGGGGGTGAAAAAATTAGGAAACATTTATAGAGGGTGTCAAGTCGACACAAATACGACTTTCATATATTTTGGATTGAGGAGGTATAAATTCATATAACAACGCATACATATTATGCAGTTCGTCCATTTTAATTCCCCAGAGAACGTATCATGTCGTCCTCAGGCCCCACACTGACACCGATCGAAGGTGAGTCTGGCTGCTTGACTTGCTGTGTCGCTCGAGTTAATACTGCTTTTTAGTTGTAATAGTAGATATCGTCCTCACGATCGTGGCAGCCATTGACACATCCCTTCGCTTGTGTATTCGTACGCGGAAGCGTCGTCTGTGGATCGACTATATGTGGGCGGCCCTCGCCATGGTATTCAACTTCATGTTATTAATTTCCGGTTGCTTGTATCTGCAATACTACGGTGAGGGTCTCCCCAGTGTCTATGTCGCATACATCTTGCTGAAGAAACGCAGAGAGGTACCCTCAAGACACAAGGATAGCATTATACTATATGTACGTTATGCTTTCTTCTTATACTTGAGAGACGTTACAAATTCTACATCAGGGTTGCCCAGTTCTTTTACGCAGTCATATGGTAAGACACCGACGCTCTAGCGGTGGCATCGAAAAGTGGCGGGGCTGATGTGCACGCACAGGTCATCGAGGCTATCCATATTGTTTACCGTTGTGCGACTCACAGTCCCGGGAACTTCTATCAGGAAGGCTCTCATATCCACTGCCATTACCTTCGGCGTTGTATGGGCTCTACTTTCTTTACAATTGTTGTGGGTTTGTGAAACCGAGTCCGGCTGGAAAATACAACCACATCCGCAATGCGATCTCGGCAGAAGTGTTGCAATAGCGCAGATAATCAGTGAGGGTTTATTGTTCATCGAATAAATCGGTCTTCTGACGTAGTATTTCAGCCGGCGTTCTAGGAGACACTGTCCTCATCTTCGCTCCATTCTCCCTCATTTACGGAATCAGATTGTCGAGCCCGCAAAAAATCCGGGTACTAGCCGTCTTCTCTGCATCGATGATAACTACGATTGTCAGTCTCGCCCATGTATATTACATCTTCTCTAATGGAGGGACAAAGGAGGTCATGGCTGGTGTAGTCGAGGTACGGTATCAGCGTATAGACCTCGAGGGCTGCTGATCATGCTCTAGGCTTTCGTGTCTGTAATTGTCGCTAATTTGAGCGTCGTCGTCGCCTTCTTCTTCCGTTTGAGTGCAGAAGATAATTCGACTCCGGGGTCCATCGTAACTGTCGGATCACTGCCTAGGAAGCGCGTTCGTGACCCTCTCGCTACGACTATTTCAGGTGCTGAAAGTGCCCTGATCGTACTGGAGGACCTCTCTGAGTCGCATCTCCGTTCCCTCAAGACAAGAGATGACGACGAGCTTACTTTGAGCATCAAGGAGGGAAGACAGACGACGCCGGACGAGTTGTGTTAGAGCACAACAACGTCAATTCGTTCCAGATCTTTGTCGATCGTGTTAGAGCACGGGGAATATTAATTTTATTGATTCGCTGTACATGCTGACCTCATAGATGTCGATAGAACAAACCTGTTCATAATTACATACCGACCTAACCGCATCTACATCTACAATATTAAAGTAATGCAGAATCTTGTTGTAGTTCAGACAACCTCAAAGAAGCTGGGCAGACTCTAATGAATGCGCCAGCGAACACTCCGACTACATTTAATTGCTTACAGAAACAAATTGCTGGGGGATTGGTGACCGTCAATGCTGGTAATGAATGCGACCAACCGCTGAAAAAATCTTCATACCTGACTTTTTCGCAAGATGGCCATTTCCCCGTCGTCTCACTCCAAAGTCTGTGCTGAATCACTTTCTTGGCTTGCAGGCTTTAGCCCCAAAGCACACCAAGCCTTCGATCGCAGTAAGACATGGCTCATAGTAAGCATGACAATATACTCACGTCGTCTTCTTAGTTGTTTATCCTACCCAATCGCAACTGAAGGTAAGCCTTATAAAATACAAGCCGAGGACTTACTGAGGAGTTCATACAGAACACGTTCGCAGCGCGTGCGATTTCATGAATCTTGTATCTGTCATAGATGAATACTCAGATGTCTCGAGGTCCGTTAACAAAATGATGTCGTAATGGATGCTCTGCGCCATCACGTCCCAAAGGAGAGTGGGTCGGCGGAGAAGTCGCTCGCCAGTGAGTGATTTGCTATCTAATATTCAACATCAGGTCACACCGACAGATTCGAACGTACTATACGTAACGCTAGTGGTCAATCGCAGAAGCGATTCATCGTGGCGTTCGATGACTATCTAGAGGGCGTAGTGCAACAAGCTATTGACATCACATCCGTGACATCGAGAGTTATTTTGACGTGCGCCACGCATGGCCTGCATTCGCCCTCTTGGAGCTAGGCTTCGATATCCCAGATGAAGTAATTTCGCACCCGGATATGATGTTCGCATCCACTGACATGATCATTCTCGCCAATGTTAGTAGTGTCTCTCTACGAACATATCGCAAATGACACTCATCAAAATTGCACGATATTATAGGACATTACATCCTACGATCTAGAGCAAGCACGTGGAGATTGCAGTCTAACGGTTATCATGCACAAGCTTGATACGGATGTCGATGGCGCCATGTTATGGCCCTGGGTGGCGGATCACCCTACAAAACTCGAGAAGAGGCCATAGCAGCTATTCCAAAATGGGGAGAGCCCATCGACTCGCAGTACTGCAATGGCTTTGGAAACTGGGTGCGCGCCGACTATGATTGGAATTTTGGGAGCGAGAGGTATATGGGCACCAATCATGATGGTCTGGAAGTTCAAAGGAAAAGGTGATGTCGAAAGACCACTTGTCAGGCTGTGAAGAGATTGGACCCGTACTTGTTGGTGTGATCCATCAATGAATGACTCACTTCTAAACAGATATTCTCAGCCTTGTTACCTATAAGGCTGCTAAGTGGAAAGTGAACGGAGCTAGGTTAGATACGAGACGAAGACAGTGTTTAGACGAGTGATGAGATGTTGTATGCGTTCTAGACGGCTTCTGAGGTGCTTTGGAGCGGGTAATTCGCTGTAGATATCAAATGTACATGGGCTAGTTATAGTCGCGAACCGTAAGGGTCCTCGAGTATGGCTAGGCCGACTGATTAGGTGAAAACGGAGGCAGAGAGTAAGTGGCGTTGAATCCTGACAGGTTGTGCTAGTGAGAGCGAGAAAAAGTACGAGAAACTGAATGAGTGGCGTACGAAAGGGTTTGGTTTGGACAGAGTGACAAGAATCGCATAGCGGTTGACAGTTTTCGGTACGGTGAAGGGAGAATGGGGAAACAGTAACGAGAGTGTGTGTTTGAGAGTCGACATAAACGAAGGTATCATGTAAGAAGGAATAAGAGACCATGCTGGTTGTCGACGATAGTGAGATAATGAAGGTGAGGGAGAAGGAATGCCGCGTGACTCGGATGCGAAGCGTGGTGCTTCTTCGCATCAATGAGTCACGTGGATGGTTCGGACAGATGAACCGTTTCGAACGTTCTTAATGGTCGGGGCGTAGAGGATATGGTATCCTCACATAACTTTCGGATATGAAAGCACTGGAAGGATGGTTGCTGATGATGTCTGCGACGATGGAGGGGATGAAGTGAGGGTCTTAGCATGCCTGTCTATAGCTTGCTGCAGGTTCTCGTTGTATTGCGTTTGGGGAGGCGGAGCAAATATGGGAGTAGCTGTGGACACATTGGCCAAGTTGATGCGTGCAAGGAGCGGCCCAGATATTAGCAGCAATGGGAGCGAGGTAAACGAGTCGAGTATAACATGCTAAATAATCGACATGGCTTATGTCAAGACCGTGCATCTCTCGAGCAAGTGCCTCGACTTCGTCCAAGGTAGATTTGACAGGTGCAGGGGGAGGAGTGAATACGACGCGCTTGGTTGGTAGTTCTCGTTGTACGTCTCTCTCATCTTCTTCGTCTGAATCCCAATTCTGATGCGATGGCTTCGGCCTAGGTCCACGAGTATCGCATTTTGATTTGAAGCGGCTAGTAGTAGCAATGGGCTCGTTTAGATCAGCATTGAACGCATCATCCGAAAATACAAATCGCCCAGCCTCCAAAACTTTCTCAAAATCAGGTGCTTCGTCCCTCGTGTAGTTAGCTTCTGTAAGCTGAAGATGTCGGTCAATAGCTCTTCGTGCGGAGCGGGGTAGGCCTTGCCAAAAGTACTGATTGCGCTCGTGAATAAAGATCTTTGAGTTGGCTTCTAACCAGATGGCAATGGGACGAAATTGACGATAATACTGGAGGAGCTTTGTTTCCGTGGATATGTCCGAGTCCGCTGCACTGAGAACGACATGTTCCAAGTCCTGGATCGTATAGCATATGCCCAGTTCAGCTCGAGAATACATCGCCAGAATGCTCTGTTTAAAAATGCCATAATTCCTACTTTCGTATCCCGTTAGCGTGACCCAGAGTCGTTTGGTGAGAACGTCCGTGTAACGAATGATAGTCCTGCACTTCTGTTCGTCCGTGAGTGCGCAGGAGGAGGCTAGGTCCTCGAAGAATTCAAGAAACTCAATAAGCTCGGACGCATCGCCGTCAAACGAAGGCGCCTTGTTAGATCTAGGGCCAGGCATTGCCAAAATTCCTTCGTTTGCGTTCGACATGGGTGGCGTGATTGACAAGTAGATATTTGTGTGATGTGTGACGTTCACAGGGAGAGGTTGGGATGAAACAGACGTTCGTTTGGGAAAGAAGCATGGAGTGAGATTAAATGGCTGTGGCTGCGCGGGCAAGGTAGGGAAGGAGTGGTGCGAGTGAGATGCGACGGTGATGGTAGGTTCGTTTGACGAAAGCGAGGATCGGATACTATGTCTTCTGAGCTGGATTCAAGAGGCTGCTGAGGTTTGGAATTGGCGAGAATAAATGGTCTAATGACCGGGTACTAGAGAGAAAAACTAGACAATCAGTAGTAGATCAACGAATCAAACTTGGGGTGCAAAAGGGGTGTTCAAAACAATCCCCTCGCGGTGGGATCCAATATATAAGGCTGCTTAGTGAGTTCGAAGGGGAAAGTAAACGAAGTTAGGTTTAGTACGAGATAAGCGGAAAAGGATAGCGTTTTGATGAGTGATGAGACGTTGGACACGTTTAGACGGCTTCTGTGGTGTTTTAGAGCAGGAAACTGGTTATAATTCGCTGTCTGTATGAGAGTACATGGGCTGTATATAAGCGCAAAAAAAAAAGGTAAGGGTCCTCGGGTAGCTAGACCGAATGATCATGAGACAACGGACGCAGAGGGGAGTGGCGTTGAGATCACAAGGTAAGTTTAATGAAAGAAAATGGAAAGCGGCATAGCTCGGATACGAAGAGTGATGCGGCGAGTCACGTGGACAGCTTTAAGCGCCTAGTCGTAGTCCTTGCGTACACCACCAGTTGCCGGTTTATCCGTGACCGATATTGTGAGAAAACTATTTAGAGGACCTGACTTGTTCCTAGAACCCTGGCTGTAATAAGAGTTTTGTAGACAAATAATAAATTCACGCCGTAAAGGTCGTAAATCTGGTATTCAGTAGGGAAATATTTCTGATATCTGGTAAAAGTCAGTCATATATTGCACGTACATGACACAGAGTTCATCCAAATATCACACGCGTTACATATAGAATAGCTTTGCGTGAGTTATGTGTGATAGGTTTAGAGATGAGATATCTTGCACATATCGCATCAACATGCTCACGATCTTTGGCTCTGACCGCAGCATCTAGATATCGTGCACCATAGCTTCAAATAATATATCTTTCCAGCGGTTTTCGATGCAGGGATCGTTCAAACTGTTCCAGTTAAAGCTTATGACATTGCATACAAGTATTACAACAAAGAGTATGTACTGATGGCATCATAGGCCTAAACATACTAATACATATCGACATTAGGCATCATGGCTAGCTCAAAACAAAACGGACAACAAAAATTTCGCTACAATATCAAGCCGAGGAAATGAGGGGAAGGGGATAGAAGAGCGCCGCGTGTTTACAAAATTCGTTCCAAATATGACTCACTACGTCATCCTGGACCAGAACCTCCTCAGTATTGCTATCATTCGAACGTTCTAACCAGTGTTCAATGAACGATCCCTCCAGTGGAATACGAGGATCCCACATTGGCCACTTGCCCATTGGAAAGGACGGATAGGCGGCGACGAACGCCAGCCAGAAAGCGTCACGTCCCCACGTCCACAGTGACGATTCCGTGTCAACTTCTGTGGTGAGCCATTCCTGAATTTGCCGGTAAACTGTTTGCCAATCGGCTGGATTGATGTAGTCAAACGAAAGTGGGAGTGGGAGAAATGATATAGTGGGTTTGTCGTCATCATAGGACATAGCTGAGGTCGACTTTGGCGTGATGTAAGTAATAGGTTGATGTTTAAATAGATGACATATGCGCTTACATTGTCCAAGTCTCCTGAACAGTGTAGTATGCTGTTGCAGCGACTCAAGTCTGACGATACAACCTCTATGACCGGTGTAGTGAATGTTCCATATTCCTGATCAATAGATACTGATATGCGAACAGGCTGGCGTTTACATGTGAGCAAGCCTCGAGAAAAGTGGAAAACGACGGATTCATACAATATCACTCCTTTCCAAGAGCTGTCTCGGAAATGTCCCGGGAAAGCAGACTATGAAGGACATTGGTTCGAGTGAGGCATGGTTGTCTTTATAATGAACACCAGGATAGAGAGTTGAAACTTTGGTGAGTGATAGCGTCGAATTCATTTTGAAGTTAACAAAGTGACAATCACCTTGAACAGCGAGACGTGAGAGATTGGACTTGTCGACATTGTGAATGTGTTCAGTCACGTGATTGGCACATCCAGTGCCTGCGCAGTGCCCACTGTTCTCGACGAATTGACCAGCATGAAGGACGACATCATCGATGGCCATAGTACGTGTATTTTTTTCCCATCAATTCATTGCTTATTTATTTATGCTACGGTATCTACAGTCTTTCGATTCTGCGATGACACTTCAGATCATGTCTTTTGCACTGCGTGCCCTAAAAAATGTGGTGTCTATCGTGTGATGGCACGCCGCAATGCTGCAAAGCACGCGAAGCAAGATATTCACATTCGTGGTGCTGAAAATCTTAAGAAAAAGCTTTCTGAGACCAGGAAGCCAAGTGTTTCTGCTGCAATGCCTGCTGGCCATCCTGATCCTTCACTTCCCCCCACCGGTCAAGACGACTTCAGCATCGATTTTGATTACATGGATGACACACCTATTGACATACAAGCTGATGGACTGCCCATGGTGCCCGAAATGGCGCCAGATGATATGGATTCCGAATATCCATTAGCCGATCTCTGGAACAAGATCATCAGCAGTCAAACACTCCAGCTCGATAATGAATTTCCGGACCTGTTTGCTGAACTGCAGGCGTCTGTTGCCTCGGGACAAATTGCCATCTCAACACCCATCGTTCCCACCAACAAGGAGTGTGAGCTTATTGACGACAGCGCGCCTGACTTCGGTATTGAAATTCCTGGTAAGTGAAATGTCTTTCCTGCGCTCTGAAATTCAATACTTAGCGGTATTTGCAGATGATCCGCTTCTTGAACCTGCGAACACTAACTACAACGTCTCTCCGGATTCACTCGTCTTGCGATGCAAGACTATCCAGAGGATGGCGGAAAGGGGATGTCACAAGTATTCAATGGGAGTAAAATGTTGTTCGATCTCCCGTCGCCGCCAGCGGTTCAGGTGGACAGGACCGTGTATTTTACGGACGAACTGTTGCAGGAGTCTTCAGGAGGCTATTTCATCCCAAAACGATTCTTTCTGGCTGCTGCTGACATCCCCACCGACACTACCGAATCCTGCAAGCAATCAGATAAAGTGCTATATGCATTGGGTCGAGCTGCTGAACGGACAGAGGTATGGGGTCACCTATGTAATGTGTACTAGTGCTCAAATGTGTATCAGGCCGGGTTCATTGTAAGTGACAATGAGGAGATTATCCCAACGTCTATGTTTGTACGATCATTTGGAGATATTGCTGCAACCTGCGGAGAGCTTGATTGCGGGCTCACACGTATGTTCGGTTCTACTTTCATTAGTAACTATGAGACTAAAGCATGACATAGCATCTTCCGTTAAATATGCGTCACTTTCACCCAATCCGCTGCGAGAAAAGTCGAAAGGTCGAATGGTGTATAACGTTCCCTTAATCATCTTCATGGACGACGTTTCAGGCAACATATCGAAGCAGTGGAACAAACACCACGCTATATACATGTCTAACGCAAATTTGCCTCGAGAGATGCTCGAAAAAGAATTCTTCATGTGATTTGTTTCGTCCTCCCCTCACGCACCACCCATGGAATTGATGCGAGCAATGAAGGAATCCATATCGTATGTTATTCTACTTGTCATTTGTATGCTAGTATCATTGAATGCATGTAGTGACGCAGCACGATCTGGTGTCATGGCGTGGGATTGCAAGTTCAACGAGGAAGTTATGCTCATTCCGTATGCATTATTTCTCGCTGGAGACAATCCCATGCAAGCTGAAGAGTGTAGCCACGCGGGGCTCAACTGCAACTATTTCTGCAGGACGTGCAATGTTGGCGGAACGAAAGAGTACAAGGAATCCGAGGCTGGCTACAACAGCATTTTTATGGTATGAAAGTCCTTTCTGTATCTTCCATATGACTTATAGTGCTTGCAGTCAGGTAATATACGGACCCCCAAGAAGACGAGTCAAGAGATTCGACAACAGTTTGAAACTGCCTTCAGATCAGGCGCCACGACAAAAATCCAGAATTCTGTTTCGTCAACTGGTGTGCGAGATTCAGCTTTGGGTTCGATTCTCAGTGCGTTGGTCGAACTTGGCAAGAAGCTTCGAAAACGCATACCAGGATCTCCAGCTCTGCCTGAAAGTGAAGTTGAAGCTGCGCTTCGGAAAGAATTCGAGGAACTCTTGAAAGGTGAACACCTCAACGATACTACCAATCCCCTACTGGGAATGGATGGTGAGTTTTTTTTGGTTGCTGTAGATCTCTCGCTCTCAGCTTCATATAGGGTTAGATATTCATATGGATACCCCAACGGAAATCCTTCATACAATACTCCTGGGCGTCGTCAAGTACTTCTGGGGGCAGACAGTGTTTCTCCTCGAAAAAGCAAAGTTCCTCCACATTTTTCAGTACCGGCTCGAATCCATTGACAAGGACGGCCTGAATGCGCCCTGTCTAAATGCAGACTATATTTGCCACTATAAAGGCAGTTTAATCAGCAAGCATTTTAAAAGTTTGGCGCAAGTTATGCCATTCATTATCCACAACCTCGTTCCTCCGACGGTCCTTAATGCATGGACAGTGATCGGCGAACTCATTGTACTGGTCTGGCACACAAGATTCACGGACACAGAAACATATCTCGTGAGTTCAATTCATGTTCTATCCAAAAGGTGTGTCTGATACCTTTGTGACAAAGGCAACGCTATCTCGAACCATTGAAGATTTTTTGAATGTTACGACACAATGCGCACCGAGTATTTTGATTAGCAAGCCAAAGTTCCATTTTCTCGTCCATCTTCCAGCGTACATTCGTCGTTTCGGCCCTGCGATTGTTTTTTCAACTGAGCGATACGAATCATTCAATCATGTCTTCCGGTTATCGTGCATCTACAGCAACCGACAGGTGCCAAGTAGGGATACTTGCAAGATTTTTTCTCACCAGGACACGGTCAAACATATCGCTACCGGTGGATACTGGTATGATTCCAGAGTCAAGAAATGGGTTTGTGCAGGGGAAAAGGTCCTATGCTATCTTGATGAACATCCTGAACAAGCGAGGCTTCTAGGCATACCAAACTCGAGTCATAGTCCTCTGATACCCGGTAAGTCCCATGGTATGTGCTATCGCTATATCGCCACTAATGATGTACAGGTTCAGGCAAAATTGAAACCACTTCTCCCACTGCAATAGCAAAGTCAGTGCGAAAAAACACAGTCCCATGGAAAACCACTCGCTGCGCGAAGATTCTTGGGACCGTTCAACCTGGAATCGTGTATTATCAGGGTAAATCAGTTGTGACGAGTGAAGGAGAATGTGCACGCTTGAATAGTCATGTTATTTTCCGACAACCAGTGGACAGGCAGGTGAGCTAGTATCTTCTTTTCCTTTTGTCGTGATGGCTACTCATGGACACGGCTGTGATGCTGCTTCCAGTTGTATATTGGACGTATTCGCGAGATTCTTGTATCATCCCAGGACAGTCAAATGACAGATCATGTCGCACTCCAGCTCTTCACATTCAGAGCTGCTCTCCACCCGTCTCTCCACCTCCCATGCATTGATCTTACTGATAATGAGATGGTTTCAACCGGTATAGTACGTCATGTGTTTTATATACAAGCTAATTGTTCAAGACTTGGATCACCTCACAGGACATTATTTGCACCGTCAATATTCAACATAATTGCCTCGATTCGCAGTGCACGGACATCCGTCGACAGTCTGTACATCAAGAACAGATAGACACCTCTCAAACAAAGGCCACAGTCAAGCATGAGTCAACGCCGAACTTTTTTCTCAATGTCTATTCCATTCATAACTACGATCACATCCAACGTGTTGTTCCAGATACACTTCGTGAGACACCGCTTCAGGTTACCAATGTAGCTGAAGTTCGTGCCATGGCCATACACCAACTACAAGACAAGAGAACAGCGAAGAAAGGTGGAGATACGTCCCAACTAGCAGATAGTGGTGAGGGTGTGGCTGCTCAACCATCTTTAGCGCCACCTTCTGCCTTTGATCGTGCTCCAACCAAACCGCAGAAGCCTGCATGCAAAGCCAAGGCAAAAACAGCAAAAGCGAGCGCACATGGTCCGAGTACACAAGGAAAGAAGGGGACGGCACCCACTCAGCAAGATTCAGGAGCATCGCAGCAACATCAAACTGTCTCTGCGCCATCAATGGGAGGTCCTTCGCAACATTTTTACTCACCTGCACCCCAACCACACCATCCTCCACATCAGTCTTTCCCTCCGCCCCTGCCAATTCATGCTCTTCCCCCCTTACGCTCCTCACCTCCATTTCACCAATCACCATCTCAGTTGTATCGCCCTCCCCCACAGTCATATCTTCCGTCTCAATCATATGCCCCTGCGCCTCTACCTGCCCAATATGTTCACCCAACTCGTCAGCAAACACAAAACGTGCAAGAGGCCCCAATGGATCCACTGCCTGCAGTGCAGGCCCCAAATCACTACATGACATTGACGCCTCACTTCCCTCCTGCACATCCACAGCTCTGGCAATCTCATGATACCAGCTCTATCTCTGGACTCCCCAGCTCTTCTCGTGCCCCACCATCGCACCAGTTTCAACCTCTGATGTCTCCCACACACTATTCACCACATAATGTTGCAGGCCACTTCCCATCACCTCATTATCCTCCCCAAGAATCTCAGGTTCGATATCTGCAGAGTCAGCATCACCACCCTCAGTTTGGTATGATGTATCCCGGTGGGATATGAACTCCAAAGGCATCCCACAGAATTTGTTGCTGATCAGTGAGTCGCTAATCCCACAGTGCGCGACTTCTACTTACAATCCTGCAGTGCGCGACTTCTACTTACAATCCTGCAGCGCGTGACTTCTACTTACAATCCTGCAGCGCGCGACTTCTACTTACAATCCCACAGTGCACAACTTCTACTTACAATCCTGCAGTGCGCAACTTCTACTTACAGTCGCACAAAGACCTTCAAGCCATTCAAGTTGGGTATCTGGCGGTTCCCCATTTCAGATTTGGTGTCTGGCTGCACTCAATTTTGTGTGATTAGATGAAGGCCTGCCGCAAATATTCTCACTTTTGCTGCACCAAGAAGTACCACTCAGATAATATACTTAGTGATTATCTCTTCATCCCTCTCCAAGCCCCTTTTTCCACCCAGCCCTTATTCCAAAAATATATCCTCTTTATTGTTTGATACTCTTTTCTGCTGCTTTCATAGGCCTGAGCGCACCAAAGATCTTGTGAAGAATATTTGGGTATGACGCAATTGCCAACTCGGACGCAAGCGAAGAAGCGAGGCTTTATTCGATCAGCCACTGAGCCCAAACCTCCGTTGGTCAGCCTTGAGCAGAACAGTGAGTTGCTCCTGCGCAGTGCATCCACGTCCAGGCAACATCATGATGCTCCAGCGCTATCCTGTGCGGACCAGTTCAGGTTCGAGAAGCACAGGAACCCCACGCTCAACAAATGGTCTGTTAGCATCACCCACCGCTGTGCCTCGAGGCAGGAGTCGTTCGACTTCTATCCAGAATGCCTCTCGACCTCCTTCAGTGTCTGGATCCATAGGAGACATTGGTCGTGCTCATTCACCACTTTCCCAGACCGTCACTATTAATCAAGCTTCTCAAGGTCAAACTGTTGTTGCCTCTCGGTTCGCTTCACCAGATGAATCCCTGGATGAGCCTATTAGTGCTAGCTTGCGTCGCCGGAGATCTTCTAGCACCGACTGTAACGACCCATCAATATTTATGCCTGGACTCACAAAGCGACTCAAGTTGTACACAAGGAAAGTTGCTGAAGAGAAAGGTGTCGATGAGGAGCACCTCGTTGAATTCATTGATGCAAGTTTTCTCTCAATGCTATTATGAATCATTTCTGATGAATCGTTAGACTGGAGGAATTGCCTATATGCTCATTGATATTAAGGCCACCTTGATGATGTTGAGCGCAGCGAACAGAAAATCTCTCCTCGTGGAAATCAAAGAACTAATAGAATCGAAAGATTTCAAGGTACTTGTGTCTAACTGTACTATTCTGTCGTCAACTTCATACTGATCAAGCATGACACAGTCGGGTCTTCACAACCGCCTCACAGCATGTGTATTATCACCTAATCTCACCGCATACGTCAATGACACGCTTGAACACGTCATGGTACCTTCAATATCCTTACATAGGAATGTAGCAGCTGAACAGGATGACAGGAATTTATCAAGAAAAATAGCGAGATATTCAAGGTCCCAAAGTTCCTGTTTGAAGACATCGAGCTCACCGCACAATTATCAAAACTTGTCAGCGAAGCACTTTCTTGCATCCGCGGCAATATAAAGACTAAGGTAAGTGTCAAAATACCTCACAGAAAAAGCCAAGCTTAGACTGATTCAGCTGATGTCGTCGATCCTAAAACGCTCGAGTATCATAGACACTGCAAGATCACTCGCCCATGGTTGCCTAGAAGTTGATGCGTCACATTGGAATAGATATGCGTTTTTGGTATGGTCTTACTCTCCTGACTGCTCATTCTGACGATGAGATTCCACTGGCAGCGCCGTTGCTTGCGTATCTTTCTTATCGGCACCGGTAACTACAAGACCATACCTCTAAAGGATATCTATTCCCCATCGCTCCTTCCGTCCCTCCACCGAGACCTTCGTGTCAAGGTTGGTGATGCACTTGGCATTGATGTTGGATTGGACGACTTCGACCAAGACCCCATAGCCGAAGGTGATGCTAATCAAGTCCAGGAGAACGGTGCAGACAGTATCGGAAGCATTGAAGGCAGCATAAATAGAGCAGAGGCTGGAGATGATGGACCCGATGTCGATGTTAACCATGATGGAGACGAGGAGGAGGACGGCCTGGAAGGAAACGTGTCTGGCACGGCGGAAACGTACGAACTCGACCCCAATGATTCGGGATTTGGCGGCCATGGAAAGCGCACTATCTTCACGTCAACCAAATTTTGGAGGTTTGTGGATGCCTCGCTCGAGGGCATTCGCAAAATGGGAAAGGCAGAGGCAGAGGAACTCAATGACGGAACACCAGTTGAGAATATCATCAGAAAGTAAGTTCATTGCTAATACTTCACTCTGCACGTGGTTACTCATTGTTGGGAAGCATCTTGGTCGAATATTTCCAGCAGGACCTCGCTGAATTCCCGGGGAAGAGGACCGTTCCGAAGCTGCTTTCCAGCACCAATCCCCAGTGGCAGACGAAAATTCAGACCGATCTACTTTGGTAGTGAATATGCCAGCTCCTCACTCCCGCTCGACACACGTATCACTCGTTCTGAATCGTTATTGTAACTAGCACGCCGATAATATAATTGTTTTGACTGCTTGACATACATTTACCGCCTTGCAAAATGTGTATTTGATGTGACTGGTATGGTGCTGGTAAGCTGGCGACTAGCTACCCTGAATATATGAGTCTATGTCTGACCGGTCCTGGCCAGAGGTAGATATGACTTACTGAACTCGATATCTATACAAGATGGGACAACATATCCGTGTGAGGTGTGGCATGCAATATATTCAAGATAAATCAATGTGATACTCGTAATAGCTCCAGTTTCCAATGTACCTACACTATCTTTATAATACCCTGAAGCTTTTAAATACAGGCATGTCACACACCTCGTGTGATAGATCGAATAGTTAAATATTAAATTGGTCAACAATATATGGCGAGAAAACCATGTTAACGACATTTCGAACAGGTTTGTCACACGTTACTACTTTTGGATGTGTGGGATAGCTTTTCGGCGAGTGACTGTGTAGAGGATGTTCAATCCTTACTAACTTACATACCCGTCTCATATTATTTTTCCTCCAGATCCCGCGTATTTTTTTTGATCACCCACTCGTTATTCTTTCTTGAGTTATCGAGGCACGATTCTTCTCCTCATTTACCAATCGTGACTTATGATTGCCTGGTTTTTGACATACAACAAAGACATGCCTTCGGTCGTTTTTTTTCCAATCAATTGTGTTTACAGTGGCAGGTCACGAAATACAATATTTGTACAGTACTCTTGGACAATCCTTCAAAGCTTCATTTGTCTCCCCAAATAGACACAGTGTCTCTTCGCGTTCTCACCCTCGACCTACCTGGACGTCCCTCGACGAAAAAGAAGTTGTCTCTGTGCTGGACCACGCTCTCTCTACAATGCAGTCGAGAACATGCTGTTGTTGAAAGTTTAGCCTTCAGTCGTTGACCCATGTCATCGCTTTGAACTTCAAATGCAGCTTGGTTGTCGCGCAGGTAACTTTGTTCATTGTAGACTTCGAAGGTGTCTTGCAGAATGAGAGAGCAGATCATCGATGATTTGCAGCGAGAATTCATGACCATTGGTTTCGTGTCCGAGCCCCTGAATGTGGTCAATGGATAGCATCTCCCAAAATTCTATCCAGTGACATGGTTGCATAACCTTCGAGTACGATCTGTGAGAACATAATTCGTAATTGAGCTGGTGTGCGAAGGGAATCCACGGCTTCTCGGAGTGCAAGGTGACCTTCGTTTTGATCATCGAATAATCCAACGTCACACGTGGCTTCACATATGACAAGTATTGAAGATGTGCCCTTGAATTGTGATTTTGATAGATAACGAGCAAAAAGACGAAAACAAAAGAGGTCACAATACATCGTTAGAAGGGAGTGCGCAGGATTTCTTTCATCATCTACGATAGGGCCAATGGTCGTTCGTGTATCTAATAGATAGATTCCGTCTTCAGCAGAAGCAGTGTTGGCACCGAATGTAAAGACATCGACACAGATATCCCCAATTTCCGGAGTGGCAATAAATTCGTCGTACAACGACGTCGATTCGTTCCGGGTCTTTGTCGATCGTGTTAGAGCACGGGGAATATAGCATTTTGTTGATTCGCTGTACGTGCTGACCGTACGGCTGCAGTGGGACATAAAGGAGGGGAGCTTAGTAGGTCGTGGGAGGGGAATAGTCATGGAGTAGAGTGCTTCGATTGGTCACCAAAGGGCAAGGAGGCAGCAAGTGAATTAAAAGACAGCACTATACGACGGTGGAACGCGACCGCTGGCTACCACCCATAAGAAGAGGCAAAGAATGGGTGAAAATAATCAAATGTTCTCCGCAATGCGATAAGTGCGCCAGTGGCGGTCAGGGCACTATGATCTGCATGTGGTCAAAGGACAGCGAGCTGCTCCTTAAGATCAAGGGACATGACAACTGGACGTTATCGTTATGTTAGTCCAAGGATGACGCATATATCTCTGACTCCACCATCCAAAAATGGCAATCGATTGACGGGAAGAACTCATTATTCAGGGTCATACCGAATCCGTTATATCCCTTTGTCTGTCTCCTGGTGAACGCTATCTTGCATTAAATGACTATTCAGTTCGCATCTGGGACCTCAAAACTTACCAGCAAGTCGGAGTCCGACTCAGGCACGACGACCAGGTCTTGGTTGTTGCCATGTCCTCTGATGGACAACACTTTGCCAGTACTATCCCCGGACTGGATACAAAATTTTATGTGTGGAGCCTAGAAGCAGCACTTAAGTGTGCTCGTGGGGCTGCCATGCGGCGTGTGTCCATTACTTTCGTCCACGTCTTTTATAGATATGTTTGTGTGTATGTCAGGGCGACGCCAAGTCCAACGTTCAATCGGGTGTGGCGCCGAAGAGGCATAATGCCCGAAATATCGAGGGGGAGTCTGGCAGTGAGTCAGACCAGCCTGAGTATGGCTTGGGTTGTAAGTTGATGGTTCTGATAATAGACGGTACTCGTAGTTGTAAGTCGGATGTGCCAGCTTGAACAGTGAGATCCGAATTGAGACTCGGAGTGATGACTAGTAGTAGGCAGAATGCGATAGTAATAAACGCGACTCGGATTCGGAGGCTCAGGCTGCTAGTTGAACGAGCCGCCATAGACTTGGGAACTTTTAACTGAGAGTTCAACTGCCCGCACAAGTGTCGAGATACCAACTTGAAGTCACTGAAGTTATCCAACGTCGGCTCAGGCTCCGAGTACTAGTCCAGTGATCGAGTCCGATGGTGGACTTTCGAGTCAGTTGCCGTTGGAGGTGAGTGGAAAGGCTTGAAATTGATAGCCGCCTGAGGCTTACCAGCACTGGCGCCCAATGAGCCAAACTTTAACTTTCCTTCCGGCCGCCCAGTTGACAGTTGATTCGGAAGTGAGCGGCTGGAGCCCAGTAAGTATGTATTGCAAGATGACTTTGAATGTCACAAACGGCCTAGTAGGATCTCCAAACAACATGGTTGCGCGATGTCAACGCGATTATGCCACTGTGTGGTAGCGACATGAAGTCTCCTGGTGCTGCGTGCGACGTGGTACATGATTATCTAAAGACAGCAACCGACATGTCAGAAAAGGTAAATTATGTCGCCGACGGATGTGGCGAAAACCTCCAGATCCGTGCGAGATTTTTGTCAGGTTCGTCGCCACTGTAATGTCAAACGATTCTAGACGCATCCAAAACGTAATCCGAATTTTTCTGCAGCGCCCGGGACTGGTCAACCGGCTCGTGATATCTGGTTCCATATCTTTGATATCACAAGCATAATGAGTGTGCTGACTTTACAGTGTTTCAGGTGCAATACTACTCTCCGTTTACACGCCTGATGTGATTTGTCTTTTGCCACACCTTCCCTTATGGGTTAGCCTACTTGGATAGCTTGTGATTAATTGATTGCTTTTGTAAGCTAGCCAATTTCAGCAAGCTTTTTCCAGCCAATCACATTTCAGCGAAATTTCACTCTCACCGAGACAAACATGCAAAGATCTCATTTGTCGACTTCCAACCCGTTCACTCTCTCGCATGTACATCTCCCATCTCCTATATCCATTTAAACTTTGAATCTCACAGTACTAGTCTCTGCATACCGTACACCGTGTGGCCACCCAATATTTCTCGGATATTCCACTTCCATTGGCCAGTGACTCAAAGGCATTCACAGCACGGGCCCCGCACAAATACGGGGCGCGGCAGCTTCGCCCAAAGTTTGTTCTGCATCTAGCATGTTCGTTTCCAATTGGCCATGGTGCATAGTGAGTTATATGTTCACACCATGGGATAGCGCTGAAGCAGACATTGCGAACTTGCGATTCCTAGCATTGCCAACCATCAAGACATTCGACTCGCAGGATGGGGACAAATACAGGGCGCAGCATCAGCTGTGTCCAATGACCTTTCTCATCCTACATAGAGAAATACATTGCTCATTGTGTAACACGATCTAAGTCGGGCTCTGGAAAATTTTCATGTGCACCACCCACTATCGAGGGAATTACCGAACAACCATATTCCGAAAGCTTCCCATTCATTGGTAGAGTTAGGGATCCTCGACTGGACAATAAATTTAGCTGGTATCGGCGTTGGTGAGTGTCGTGTACGTCTTTCCTGAGAGATCCACAATTAAAACGGTCTGAGATAGTTCTACGGTTGATGATAACTGGAGCAACCGGTCGCGTGCAAACTGTGGAGATTCATGCTGCTTATATGGTCCTTGGATGCAGGCGGCCAACATTTGAGGCGCACCTGGTGTGATAATAAACGAGACTCACTGACACGAGGCAGGAATGCTATGGCCCGACCATTCATTCCAGTAGGGAGAGGATTGAGAGGTGCCAAGCCTGGGGTTATTAAAAAATCTTTTTCACAAAGAGCCCTTTTTGCGAGGCCTGTCTCCTATTGGCATCCTATAGACAAACCCAATAGAGTCGTTCCTAGCGCAAAGTTTGGATGAGAATCTACCCATCCGGGGACAAAAGCACAGCTGGTTTGAAGGAACCAGGAGGTCCGGGGGCCATGCCAGGAAGCTTGATCGATAAGAAGTTACTTATAACTAAACTAGACTTATCGCACCCTCCAGCATGCCACTGCTAAACACCTCAAATTTCTTGTTCACTACAACTGAATCCATCCACGCACACTCATACAGTCTGTACCTGGGTGCAACGGTTTAATGTTGAGTTGAACTCGAGAGATGCGGCAGCAAGCCCCCAAGTCCAGTTATGCGGCCTTTATCGAAGTGCCTATATCATCGGATCGAGATTGGCGACAGCAAAAGGCTATGCATTGTTGCTCTATGTAGACTAGTAGTACTAGCCCAAACTATATGACTAACCTGCTGTACGAGCTGATGATCTTCCGGCTATCATACCCAGGTTCGAGTTGACATTGATTGATGTATTACGTGCTGTTTCTAGGTGTGTTGGGCAGTACTATGTACCGCCATTGCCCCGGTCACTTCCGCCAAACAGCCACTAGTAGAGTTCATACATCTCGGCGGAGCACCGCGGGTTGGAAATAATCTGGATTTGATCCTTAGTGTGTGGAACTCAGTGTCCTTGGATAGTTGGGCTTTCCTATGACAGCTCTCCTCTGCCAATGAGATATCTTTACCAGAACTCTGTTCATGATGAGGCCTAGGTCCGACATCGTGTGGTTGTCGTGTCCTTGCAAAGTATAGTTCACTTACATAATTGTACTCCATGGGGAATGTCAGTTATTATTAGATCGCTTATCATGATCCCGGTTGGACAAGCTCCTCGACATGCACTAGCAGAACTCAAAAAATAAATCTCCACATCCCCTCCACATCACATATATATGTCCAATATTACATCACAAACATAACTACATAGAGAGACAAGCGGGATTACAATCGATATCTGGCGCTAGTACAATATAAACATAAACATAAGCTCGAAAAGTTACCGGGGATTCCCCTCCCGCCCATACGTCATGCCCACACCTCACTTCTACCCCACCTGTGGCGGAAATACCTCCTTCGGTCACATCGGATACGGCGCCTACAATGGAGAGAATAACAGCATCAGAAAAGGTCATGGCAGGAAAAAATCAAATTGAGTTCAAGGCTTTGTAAGATGGAATGGGAAGGAGGCGGGAACGGGAACGGGTAAGGGCCTTCAGGAGTTTTGCCACCATCACCGGTTCCGGGATGAGGTTATCTCGGGAGGGACAGTCAAATTAACGATAAACAGGGTTATATGACGGAAGAGTGCCATGGTCTACTGCACAGCACACATCAGAAAAGATAGATATCTATGAAAAGACGAGCAGCATGGCGCAAAGTGATAAGAAGGGAAAGGTGTAAAATGGGAATAGTGCACACAAAGACGGGAATGGGCGACATGCGCATTGCAAATGAGTGTGAGAATGTACAGCATGATAGTGGGTATGAGAACGTTCCGGAAAGCATGAGACCTCAGCAGAAATAACAATGCAAAAACCAACCAGTAGACAGAAAGCAAGAGAGCAATATGACAGAGCCAATAAGATAACTTAGAGAAAGAAATCGAAAAGAAGGGATATTAAAGTTCCAAAAAAGACACATACTCATGATCCTCTAATACAATTGGAAGATGGCCAATCCCCCGTACACTGTCAGATGACGAGCTAGATGATGACTGATAGGAGAAATAACGTGCATTCCGTCGCGATGATGGGGTATCAACAAGATATGGGCGCCTCCGCATGAGAGAGTAAGGAACTTGGGATGAGAGCGGAGAAGAAGGAATATTAGAGGGAGTGCGGAGACGCTCAAGCAGGAGTCACTCAGTCCGGGACGCAGGATCCCCAGAGCCGGGGCTCGAGGGGTGGGAAACCTTGTTCCACAGAGCAGTAATTCCGTGTTTCCCTTTGGGATCGCGGGAAGGTGTCCGTCCACTTGGGTCGCGCGACACGGACCGGGAGCGTATGTTGCCAGCCCCGCCCCGTCCAGAGGACTCAAATTCAGTGTGATGATGGACTACACGTTCAACGTCAGGCGAGTGTACACTGGTAAGGTTTGCAGTTCCGCCTCTGCCAGTCGAGTGTCTGATAGGGGGATCATAAGTTTAAAAGTTCAGGACCGAATGCAACACACATACATCGCTTGAGCATGAAGATGCTTCTTTCTTTCCTCTTCGTCCATGTTGTCGACGGTAGAGGCAGCTCCATATTGAATGTTACCTACTCCGCCTCGTCCCGTGGAATGAACTATTGGTCCACGAGACTGAGAACGAGAGCGGGAGCCTGATATGTTGCCAAGACCGCCTCTTCCAGAAGAATACTAAGAGGTATCAGGCTTGCATCAGTGTTTGCGGTACATGAATCAGACGGACATACAATTGGGTTGGATTCAGCGTGGTGCTTCTTGACTTGCTGTTCATATCCTGCCTGAACCGCAGCGTGCTCGTTGAGGATAGTTACGGTCTGGGGGTGGTCTTTTCCGACATCCTGAGAAGGGGTGCGCATGTTACCCACTCCACCTCTACCCACAGAAACCATCTGCATCTACTGAGCAAGCATCTTGGAGCGAAAGCTGTGTAACATACCCTATCAGGATGTACAGCCTGCTCCCGCCCACGAGTTGAATCAGAATCAGTCAGATCATCGACGGGACGAGGATCACTTGAGACGGATGAGCGTCGAATGTTACCAGCTCCACCTCTGCCCGAAGATTGCTGACGCACGAAAACGTTGTGAGATGGATTTTGTACTAGATACGAATGCACTTACAAATGAATCACGTCCCCGGGATATAGACCTGCTCTCATTGCTAATCGAATCTGCCATGAGCACAAATTAGTTTCTGCAGCGAGAAACGACGATGATGGGCAAGAGGAAAAAAAGTGGAGTAAAGTTGGACAGGAAGATGGCCGTAAAAAGGGTGCTGGAATGAGTGACAGGGAGCCTAAAGTGAGTCAAGCAATGCTGTGCACGAGGTCGGATCCTGCACGAACTTTACCTGCAATAGCGCTCAATTTTGAGTGACAGCCGGAAGACAGCTTTCCCTGGGAGATAAGGGGAAACCCAAAGAGACAGCTGAGGCCGGGTACTGAAGTGAATGCGGGGCCGTGCGATAGTACCCCTTATCAAAGTTCTCTGGATTATCTCTCCAAAGTGGCACTCATCTTTCTTGCGAATACAACACACATGTGGAACAGAAAACTCACTTGGTACATTCACCAACGTCGCCCCATCATCATCACTGTCATGTGTATACACCCGACTCAGCCTCTGTAGAAATGACCTTGAAACTGGACGTTCTCCAGGATTTCCAGACATGTTGTCTGGTGTTCTGTTTGTCGCCAATCCAAGGTTTATTAACCGACTACGGGAGTTGTGTCGAATGTATCGATATCGAGAGAGGAGAGAGAGAGAAAAGAGGAATTCTGGATTTTCTTGGCAAATAAAGGAAAGTGTTGACGCGATATCCAGTCGGAGTGCATACTTATGGCGTTATATGGGTGATCGATGACCTCCGGATCCATCTATGAGCGAGTCGCTGACTTCATCAACGGTCGGATCTCTGACCAAATGGACTGTTAAAATGGAGCGGGCTCTGAATTGGCGCTGGACGCTCTCTTCAAACACCGCCAAGGCACCTCCGTGACGTACATATCCAGCAACCTCTTCCAAGGCCATAGTCACGTACATCCTGAGTTCTGCCACATTCTGCCCAGGAGGTTCCGCCGCAGTACGACACTACAGTTCCAACTCCTCTTCGACTCCTCTTCAATTTGTAGTCACTCGCGTTCTCAACGTGACGTATGCCATCAGTGATCCCGGCACGACGTCAATTATGAGTCAATTGCCTGTCACTCGACAGCCAATTGTACTTCAAACCCAGGTCACAATTTGATGCGAAATCCATGTGACTGTATCAGACGACTCAGGATCGAGGCACGACTCAAACATAGCCAACAATGACCTGGATGTTGAGAGAAAAGACCATTAGTGAGTACTCATACATTATCACCAAATACCAGCACGACGTTAGAAAGGAAAGGAGAAAGCCGGGCTCGGTAGACTTTGACGAAGTATCAACAAACAAGCGTGCATACACAGTAAGTCCGACGTAACCGAAACACAAAATGTTCCATATGACCGACTGATACGACCCTTTCGCGTAATTGCAGGTTGCGGATCTTGTCATTTTGTTGTCTTACTGTATTACAACCATTTCGGAAGATAATGCCCGACGTGTCCAGGCTGCAACACCGATTTGTGCAGCGTCCACATCAAACCATGTGCATGTCCTGGCACTTTTGCGTTCTAATGGGATTACCTGCTTGACAAGGTTTCTGGGACCTAGGCCATTTCCCACCCTTCCGAGCAACTTCCTTCTCGCAGATATTACCAATCATGACTCTACTCTAGAGGAGGACGCATGTGGCTGGCTGCCCCATCTAATACCGTCTTTGAAATTCTCTAACTAGCTAGCCCGGATATCTTTCGGATCCACTAACTGCTTTGTCGTTGGCTCCAGCTGACCTTGAATCAAGGCATTTTTAGTCTCTTCGCAGGGTGACAGTTGACTCCAGGAGTTTCGGAGTTTCGCTTACCTGACAACGTGCCGCTGCTCGTTCTGCTGAATATCGTTTGTAAGTCTAGTTGCGGCTGTGCAAGAAGGACTTACATAACGCAAGTTTGAAGGGAATGACATCGAGACCATGATGCACTCTTTGAAACGTCGGGAAGGAATACTCTTGATCCTGACGTAGAGGGACATATCCGCGTGTCTCGGATGCAAAGAGTAAAGCTCTTCGCATCGATCAAACACAGGGAGACTTGCATCTTGTTGGGAAGAAGAATTCTGTGATACCTTCAGCAGGACAGGTTCGCGCTTCACTAGAGTGTTACATTTAATCTCTATACGCTGTTGAACGTCCTAGAGAACAAGCAATCATCGTGGTCCTGCCAGTGGCACCGTGGGGCTCCATCCGAGCTCTAAATCTATAGTGCAGACACGACATATCATACATCTCCCGAGAGTCTCGACCGTCCTCTCCGTGAACGCTTCTGAGTACTTGGATGTTTTTATTTTTCCCTGAATTCCCGAGTGGCTTACAATCTCCGGCTTAATATTGGGTCAAAGCGAGGTCAAGCGCTGGCGATCGATCATTCGCATATATCCATCACAATATTTCTCAGGTCGAGATCATTCGAGAGTCAAAACTGTCGCTGATAGGCAGGCAGACGCCTGCCTTTCGAACGTTGCGTTGCATATATGCCATAGTCTGCACCTCATGATCTCAGTGAGTTTGCCATTATCAGCGCTAAGTCTCGTCCTTCTCAAATTTATAATCGCAGGTAAAAATTGCTAGGCTCGCATGTAGTCCCCACCAACCCTTGTCGAGTCCAGACTTGACAAGGCGGTCCGCCCATCAATCCCTCATAAATTTAAATCAATAACCGTCGTGATAGGTGCCAAAAATCAAGTCACGTGCTCTGATACGCGTTTCGGCGTCTCATAAGTTATAGTGTTTTACGTTCTGCAATTTCAGATTCAACTGCGGCAACAAGAAGTAGGGCAATACTACCCGGGAACTATCCCCAAACAAATTCCTTGAGGCTGGGCTCCGAATCGTATAAAACATGGGCTTTGAAGACGACTTTTTTCCCATTCCCTCACCGCTCTTTGAACAGCCTTGACAGTTGAACTCTTAGCACCTCTTAACCAACCTTCTTAATTCTCTACCTTCAAAAATGTTCGCTCGCATCTTTGCTGTTGCCTCTCTCGTCGCCTTCGTTCTTGCCGATGGCCAGTGCAACACCGGCAACATCCAGTGTTGCGACAGTGCTACTTCTGTATGTTGATGCATCTTTCGTAGCAGGGTACTGAGATAGCTAACGAATGGTTCACAGGTTGAGAACTACAACTTGCTGGCTTCCAATGATCCGAGCCTGATCGCTATTCCTGCTGACGTTGTCGGCCTTGTTGGCCTTGGGTGCAGCCCTCTCACCATCGTGGGTGGTGGCGCAGGCTGCGAGGCTAACCAGGAGCCTATGTGCTGCAGCAACAACAAATACGTACGTGCTTTTCCTGACGGCCTATAACTGCGTAATAATGACCGTGCTTTAGGACGGTGTTGTGAACGTTGGCTGCACTCCCATCAACATCGGCCTCTAGACACCCAGTGGACAATTGATTAATATAAGGTTGGAAGGTCGCTTATTTGATATCGATATCCTTCGCCCTCTTACTACTACATAATAACACATTCTCTATTTGCTTTTCTTGTGTGCTCATACGAGGTCTTTGACTCTTTGCTCAACTCGACTAATATAATCCTTGCTTGATGGCATCCATTGCACTGTAGTCGCCTGTCCCTGGACCAAAAGGTAATGTATCTAGCATTTTGATCACCTTTGTACGTCCTCCGGCCTCAACGCTTCAACTCCTGAGTCGCAGACCCCCAGTAATATTTGAAATTACTCCGTTACGTAAACCACATGTCATATGACCAGTGAAAATGCGTATCATATGATTGGTTCTTTCGCTGGGTCACACTGACATCATGCCAATACTTAGTCAGACTGCATCCATAACCTACTCGCTATGTCTCTTGACATCGAGTCAGTCGGCCATACCCCATCGTGTTCTGATAATCCAATATTTATATCATACGTCTAGCTGGCGAAGATGATCGAGGATCCAAACGAATTCATGGTATTTGGATTTCAGATAAAAACAGTCCCATCAAGTGACACATCGCAGGGAGGACACTGGTCTGTGCTTGGCGCGACCTGACCGCGGGTGTGAATAACTACGGCTGTGGCGGACCGGGTGCTTTTCTTGAAGTCGACAATTCTCATAGCTAGTCGCTCTCTTATCTTCACCGACACCACCTTACAGGTAGACGATGAGGACATTCACCGCGCTGTATGCGCTCATTTCTGTTCTCTTTGTATCTGCTTCAGTCTTCGATCAGCAGCCGCCTCAGGATGTAATCGGCAAACCCACCGTCGATACCCTAACTGACCGTGACGCTATCATAGAGTCGCTCCTTGCTAGCCACGCGGATGATCCTGTACAAGTTATGCGTATTCTGGATCCTGAGAACGCGTCAGAACTAGATACTCCACGGTTTTTACAAGTATTTGGGACCGAGGCAGTATGGATGACCGAAGGCGACAAACTACGTCTTCGACAGCAGGGCCTCGGGTTCATCGATCTCACTGATCATCAGGATTTGCACGCATGTCACGGGTCTGCTCAATCATGTACGTACTTCTCTCCATCTTCTATTCTCATTAAGCTGAGAGTCAAATGATAGCATGGCCTAAATTACAATATCAAGAGAAGGTGGCGTCGGTCACCGAGCTTCTGAGTAAGGACGAGATGAAGAAAAATTTGGAGAAATTTACTTCGTTCCACAACCGGTATTATCGCTCAGAGTTTGGTGTCAAGAGTTCACGCTGGTTGTACAATCAGATTCTGGACGTCAGTGTCATCGCATTAAACTTGTCGAACTCATGTATCCAATCCGCTTGTACAGATCATCTCTACTGCCCCTCCCGGTGTCCGTCTCTCAGTCGAGACGTTCACTCACATATTCCCCCAGCCCAGCATCATCGCTCGCTTTGAACCGTTCTTTGGACGCGCTTCTCCCAATCCGACGATAGCCCTTCCTCGCATCATCGTTGGCGCTCATCAAGACTCTGCAAATTACCGCTTTCCCTTACTCCCTGCACCTGGAGCAGACGATGACGGCTCAGGAACGGTCACAATTCTCGAGGCGTTTAGAGCTCTTGTCCAATCTGGATTCGCTCCAGAACGCCCGGTCGAGTTCCACTGGTATGCCGCGGAAGAAGGTGGCTTATTAGGAAGCCAGGAGGTCGTCTCGGAGTACAAGCAATTGAAGAAGGAAGTGGGCGCCATGATTCAGTTTGTGAGCACAAAAGTCTATCCATTGTGAACTGAGAATTAACTGGGTACTAGGACATGACTGCATATGTACCAAAGGGAGAAGTTCCTGTTGTGACCTTTATCTCGACGGACGTTGATTCGAATCTGACCAACTGGGCGGTTGGGATTGCAGAAGAGTACAGTACGTCTGCTGTGGGAACTGCAAAACTCTTGTAAGTGGGGTACCACAGTTCTCGCAGCACCCCTAGCTGAACCTGTTGTAAGCCCTGGTGCGGGCTCAGACCACATGTCATGGTACCGAGCGGGGTACCCTGCCATATTTGCAGCAGAGGGCGATCCGTTCAAAACATTCAACCCGTACATTCACACTTCAGGAGACAAGATAGACCTTGCCGATGGAGAGTTTTCATTTGAGGTGCGATATTTTTCATTGATGTGCATTGCGTCGTGAATCATTGACTATGGAATACAAACAGCATGCTCTTGAATTCGCAAAGGTTGCTGTTGGGTTCGTTGTTGAGCTCGGTGGATGGGTTGAATAAGTTCGTGGGGATAGTCATAGCTACCAGCCCGGGATCAATGCTATCCTCGTACCTACAAAAACTCCTGTGTTCAAACTCCTCACATTGCGGCGGCACAGTTCTCAAAGTTTTTTCCGAATAGGTTTGCATGTAGACTAATTGTTTATGCAAATTGTACTACTTAATGATATAGCGCTTCAGCACTGGCGCGTGTAATGTTTGGAGCAAGGCTTTGCCTGACTTCAGCTCTGGGAGTACCGTAGTTTACATACTAGGTCTACCAACGTAGCAGTGGAGAAGTTCGAACACTCAAGTCGAACCATGTCATTAGATTACATGTTATTTCCCATATAGCCCACTTGTTCAGTAGACAGTCACTTCGGTCAAAAAAGCACTGCAGCAACATGTTGCCAGAAGCCTTTCGGAGGGATCTCAGGTCGTTCGGTTTCTTCACAGCTGGGAATACCCTGATTGATTACGAAGTGAGTCTGAGTCCCAGGTAAGCTAACGTGTCGAATACGTACCGTAATGAAGTCCATGTCGTCTGTTTTCCAAATCACCGTGCCTCGTGTAACCTTCCAGAACAGAAACAATCCAAAGAATAGTGGAATATTTATATCTGCGATAATTGGTCAGGTGTCATCTTGGTAGAGAAGGACCGGCTTACATGATGTCAAAAAGTAAGAGGCTTCAAAATCCCAAAACACGGTAAATCCATTTATTAGAATAAACAGTATACACCAGGTCATGCCCCAGATGGAGAGCCACGGCTACAGATTGAAATCAGTGATTATTTTATGCGTTTTGGTGACCCCGACTGACTTGTAGGGGATTATAGTAATGGAGTTTCTGTCGATCAATGCCTTGGTATTGCAGTCCGCGATCTGCATGGTTCATCAGTTCATCGATGATCCATAGATACATACGCCGGGTACTCACAGAAGAAAATGTAAGTTAAATTAATCGAAAGCCAGCCGAAGAAACCACCCATTACACTGAGATGCTGGAACCAGCTAAGATGCGACATGAGCCACATTGCGAACACGAGGCGACTCATGAAATTTACTTGAACACAGTTTCTGCACCCGATGATATACTCATCAGAGACAAAAAAGCGAAGACACTCTGTTGGCCCCACATCAGTGTCCGTGGTACTTGGGACTAAATAAGCGTTCATTCATACCGAACAGAGCACTGCAACAATTGGTACGCCCTTCCTCGTACAGATAGTGAGGAACCGGGGTGCTTGTTTACGAAGTGCTAAACCATAGAGGATGCGCGAAGAACAAAAGAGGAACGAGTTGCCCGCGGAGAATGCGCTAGTTATGAAACCTGCATTTACTACAGTGGGTAACACTACATGGCGGAGGAAAATGAGATATGACTTTATGGAAAACGAAGTACACACCTCTTATTCCTGAAATCTGCATCGCAATCACAAATGGCGACTTGGCAAAGATACCAGTTCCCTCCAACAGTTGCGGATTATTTGAAGGTACAATGAGTCCTGCAATGAAAACGCCGAGAATCTACTGAGCTGTAAGAAGTTATTCATTGTAAGATATCATTATGCTCAACGTAGAAAATGAGGATTCGGTAGAAAACTCTGCGAATAGCTTTGGCAATATTCCTCCGCGGGTTCTGCGTTTCAGACGCCGCACTATCGGATTGTTAGGGAATATATGCCCAGAATGAGATACCACATACACAGCCACTATCTCCATTCCCTGGTAAGCAAATGCGGCTTGAGTGATGACACTCAATATTCCGAGGAAATTATTAAGCGCAGGATACCGAGGTTCAAGTCCAGGCCCGGCAAAGACACCCGGATTACTCCAGTACTTTGGATAATTAGCTCACTAGTCCACTCATAAAGTAACACGTACTTGAAAACCAAGTCGCTGGTGATTCGGTGCTCCACCAAGGTCAATGACGAGGCCAACGATGATTAGACCAATGATCGTTATCACTGATAAACATGTTGAGTTTGCTTTACAAATACCAGCAGAGGGCTAGCTTACGCTTCAAAATGGAAAAAGCAAATTCGGCTATTCATCTTTTAGTACATAAATTGAAAAGGATGATGGACCTACTTTCTCCGAAGTATCTGAAATTTAGGAATGAATATACGTGGCGCGACCGGCTTCAACGACTCACATTACACCAAATATATTTGTGGCGCATATAACGATACAAATCACTACAGTATAAACTGCAGCGTGATGTGACTAGACAGAATTCCAACCTTTAGGACACAACAGGAACGTCAAATGTAGTTCAGGAAACTTACATCCCACATAGAGATCAGTATTTGAGCTCCGGATATTTCCACAGGAACGTAGAACCTGAAAATGGCGATGTGAATCACTGAATGGCTGTGATAAAATGTATACGCCTACGCATTAGTCTTATGAAGGGGCGATCATGATATAGGCAGTTTCGATAGACACAAAATGAAACCTTACAAGAAAATAATTCTAACGAGTGACACTTGATTAGGTATGTTAAAACATAGCGAGAAGATAAAGGATGTACCCAACCAACCTACAGAGTATGAAAGGTCAGTCGAAGGTAAGTACTTAAGTAGGTCACTCACTGCAAATCCCAATGCGGGATCTACCCAACGGGAGGCTGAGCGACGGCAAGTTGATATCATTTCAGTCTCAAAAGGAAAAGTACAAACCGAAGTGGGGAAATGATCCTGATATCGGCGCTAGGGAGGTCATCTCCCCAAGTGAACATAATGACCTGGCCGGATCAAATAGGCGGAAACCCGCACAGATCGTAGACTTACGAATACGCTACAGAACCCACCAGGGCAAATGCAATCAGGGCACCGAGTGGTCCAGCTGTGTGAATGGCTCCCCCTGTGCCTAGAAACAGTCCCGTACCCAAAGTACCAGCGATCTTGGGAAAAT